CATTTCTTCATTTATCCATTTTTTTCCACCTAATCATTTCCCCAACTATTCATTTTCCCATGTACCCATCATCTTGCACAGCTCATTTCCTGAGAGCCTGTTGTGTGCCAGGCCCTGGACTCAAGGCTGGTAATACAGAAGTCAATAAGACATCCACTCTCCCAAAGCTGACGGGAGCTTGAACAAGTGCGAAGAGATAATGTGGGAAACTACCCAGCGAGGCTCTTGGTGTGCACAAGTACGCAGGTCCTGGAGCTCTGTTTGTGACAGAGCTTGTCTGAGGCCCCACACTAGGAAGGACTAGGACTAGCTAGACTGGGAGCTGGCCCTAGAGCCTAAGCTTTGTGTGATATTCTTCTCCCCACCCCCCACCATGCTGCCTTTTTCCCAAGAGAATCGCCTGACCACTGTCAGCTGTGGGGAGAAGATGTTAAGGAGGGGAAATGCCAGGCCAGAGCTGCATGCAGCGAGGAGCCCATGCTGGCCATCCTCCTGGTGCCATGATCTCCATAACACAAATGCTTTCGGCTCAGGGAATAGGCAGGCAGGAGAGGGGACCTGAGAGCCAGCTGGGTACCAGCAGGCAGGAGGCCTTACAGGGGAGGGAACAGTTAATTCATTAGTCCTGCAGGCCAGCCATGCTTTACACATTAAGCCCCTTTATCTCCTTGCAATTGCATCTGATCAAGGCCATAGAAAGTATTTTGGTTAAGTGGGTAATTTAATCACGCTGCAGCCGTTCAGAAACCACTTAATGCCTCTGACTGTGATTGGCCCCCATTCTTTGCTTACCTGGAATGCACGCTTCTTCCAAATACAAGGCTTCCGGGCCCCCAGCAGCTGGGTTTGCAGAATGATGAAAATGACAGCTCGCCTTCCTGGCTCAGCCCTTTCAGCTTGAAGACCTGAGAGAGAGGGAACGTGATGAGTTCCATGTTCCCCAGTTTTTCCTCCCAACAATTGTATGGGTGTAGGCACACCTTCAGCTCACAGACGCTGAAACGACCTCTCAGAGAGGTGGACTTCCTTCCATTCCAAGAAGGTCTTATTCCTAAGCCTTTGCCTTCTAGTCAATTGAATCATTTTTTAATTACCTCATTTTCGCTTATTACTTTTGTAATTAAAATTCTTTTCATTATACTACCCAGCCCCCTGAGTCTTCCATTTTATCTCTGAATTGCTTAGCAATTTGCTGCCCTCTCCACCCACGGCCACCAAGGTCAGGCCCATATGACTTTGTGCCAAAACAGTTGCCACCCCTATCCTGCCCCTACCATCTCGCTGTCCCTATCTTGATGTCCTCTACCTGTAGGCTGCGTTTCCGCCTACCTGTCTTTCTAAAGAGCTGATCTGGCCAAGCCTCTCCCCTGCTCCCCAGTGGCTCCCATCACCCCCCGGGGCAGCAGAGTGCTTCCCAGAGCCCCAAGGGATGGCAAAGTGACCAGGGAGGCTCCAGGGCTGCCTTTCTGTGAGATTTACTCTAGAACTCAGCTCCCTGGGTGCACAGAACAGGACAGTAGTGCACATTGCTGCTGCTGTGTTCTGTTTCTCCTTGGCTCAGAATCTTCCCACAGCTTCCCACTACCTGCAGGTAAAATCTAAGCATGTTAGGGCTGCGTTTGAAGCCCTTCACATTCCAACCAACCCTCATCTGCCTTTCCTCCCACTCAAAAGCCCTCACCATTTCCAAAACAAAACACGCACTTTCAACCTCAAACTTAGCAAGCTCCTTTCTACCACAGGGCCTTTGCACGTGCCCTTTCCTCTGTCCAGATCCCCATTCTTCACACTCTTCTCCAGAATCCAACTCCTCTGCCTTCCCCTCGGTGGCTCACCCCATGACTGGCCACTTCTCACACTTTAGGTCTCAGTTTCAGACTCATCTCCTCACAAAGGTCTTCTTAGGCCAGGCTCATTTACACCAAATCCTGACCTGGTGATTCCTGCATGAGTGATTGATTAAGAAGTGCTGTGCCAGTGGAGATGTCGGGAAGGGGCTGGGGAAAGCAGGGCAGGCAAAGGGGAGAGGCCGAGCAAGCGTGGGATCTCAGCCCAAGTCCCAGACTCAGCCTGACCCCATGGAGAGCTGTGGGCAGGAAATTAGATCTCAGGTTTGGTTTTGTTTTCCTGGAGACAGAGTCTCACCCTATCACCAGGGCTGGGGTGCAGTGGTGTGATCATGGCTCGCTGCAGCCTCAACCTCTGGACTCCTGCTATCCTCCCACCTCAGCCTTCTTAGTAGCTGACTACAGGCACTTGCCACTACACTCAGCTAATTTTTGTATTTTTTGTAGTGATGGGTTTTGATCATGTTGTCCAGGCTGGATTCAAACTCCTGAGCTCAAGCAATCTGCCTGCCTCAGCCTCCCAAAGTGCTGGGATTACAGGTGTTAGCCATCGCACCCAGTTCATATTTTTTCTGGACTCCAAGCAAGGGACCTATTGGGCATTCATATTCCTGCACCAGTCAGTGAGTGGCTACAAGCCTCCTGGAGAAGACCTGCAAAGAGTGCTGAGTCGCAGTGTCTCCACTGAAAACGGGGCTTTGTAATTAAGAAAGGGAGATGGAGGTTAGGTTAGGCAGTTCACAGGGTCTGCCACAGTCACGATCATTAGATTGTGTTTTGGAGATTCTGGTCACTAAAAAAGACATAAAGCAATCAGAAAAGTTATAGCTCTCAGAAGGGAATAGAAACAGTAACCTTATCTGAAGATAGTGTAACTTACAAGTCTAGTGAATCTCTGAGGGGAGAGACCTCTTTAGAAAGATACTGTAGAATCTCTGGGGAACGGATGATTGGAAAATGTTGACTGAAGGAGACAAGAGAAAATGTGAATACTGAGCAAATAAAATGAAATAGCTGCAAAGTTCTTTGCTTTTAAATGTAAAATATTTACTTTTATCTTTTAAATAAAGAAAAAATTTATAAGTTGGAAAAACCGGGCATGGTGGCACATTCCCGAAGTCCCAGCTACTCAGGAGGCCGACGTGGGAAGATCGTTTCAGCCCAGGAGTTTGAGGCTGCAGTGAGCCGTGATTGCACCACCGCACTCCAGCCTGGGTGACACAGTGAGATCCTGCCTTAAAAAAAAAAAGTTGAAAAAAAGAAATGAGCATTACCTAATATGAAAATATCAAAAGACAATAATTAGGATGATGTGGTAGCGGTGTGTAGGATTGAACAGATAAATGGCCACAGTGGCATCACTGAAGCAGACTCTAATGGATGGTTTGCAGTTGTAAGGGACCCTATGGAGACACTTGAACAGAGACAAAGCAAAACAAAACAACAACAAAAAACCGCACAGATGTAGGGCTTTCAAGAGCACTATACTCAGAGTCAGGGGACTTGGGTTGAAATCCTAGCTCTACCACAGACCAGCTGAGGATCCTGAGATGTCATGTACGTGATATGTACATTTTATGCACATGACATGTACATTACATCATGCACGTGACACGTACATTACATTACGACATGGCACAACATGATGTAATGTATCTGAGCCTTGATTTTTCCCTCTGTACAATACGGATACTCATGCCTGACTATTGGAAGATGGCAAAAGCACTTTTAATAGTAAAAAATAAAAAATAATACTTGTGACAAATGACAAGTATTTTGGAGTAAGGGTCTGAATTTGTGAGGTTAAGAAAAACCAAACTTCTTATTATCATCAGACAGTAGATTTTTCTTTTCATTCATTCATTCCTTTTTTTGGTGGGGGTGCAGGGTCTTGCTCTGTCACCCAGACTGGAGTGCTGTGGCACAACCATGGCTTCCTGCAGCCTTGACCTCCTGAGCTGAAGTGATCCTCCCCACTCAGCATCCCATGTAGCTGGGACTATGGGCCAACTTTTACATTTTTTGTAGAGACAAGGTCTTGCTATATTGCCCAGGCTGGTCTTGAACTCCTGGCCTCAAGCAGTCCATCAGCCTGAGCTTCCCAAAGTGCTGAGATTACATATGTGAGCCACCATGCCTGGCTGACAGTAGACTTTTCTGAAACCCAATCTGAAAACCCTTACCTTTTACATTTCTTATAAAGTTCATTTACTTTTATTGTGATTAGTCATAGTTTGGATTTATATCTAACTCTATTTTAGGTTTTCCATTTACCTGGCTATTTCATCTTTTCCTTCTTTAATGTTGTATATTGAATTGATCAGGTTTTCTTAATTCCTTTTTGCTGCTCTACCAGTATAAAGTTATACATTCTAATTTTCTTCATTAGTGGTCACTCTTAAAATTTTAACACATTTGATTTAATAAACCCTAAGGTTAACCAAGATTTCTTTTTCATCTCAAATAATAAAAAGACCTTAAAGTGTTTTGGGAAAGGATAACACAGGGAGAAATGCCAGATATAGGTGATGGGGGATGGAGGCAGCAAACCACCTTGCCATGTGTGTACCGCTGCAACAATCCTGCATGATCTGCACATGTACCCCAGAACCTGAAGTACACTAAAAAAAGAAGAGGAAGAAGAAAAAAATGCAAAAAAAAAAAGTGTTTTGACTTCAATTCTATCCTCTTGTCTCACATGTTATTGTCAAAGAGTTTTTATGCTTAAACTTCTTCAAATTAATCATATTTACAATTGTGGTTTCCCATCATGCATATTTATTTAAATTTATCCATGTTTACCCGTTTATTTGATCAAGATTTCTTTGAATAACGAATTCCTTCCTTGTGATCGGTTTTTCTTTTTTTCTCTAGTGCATTCTTTAGCAGAGCTTAACATGGGTTAGTGGTGGTGACTCTCTCAGCCTTTATATCACCCTCATTTATTTTTTCGAGATGGGGTCTTGCTCTGTTGTCCAGGCTGCAGTGTAATGGCGAGATCTTGGTTCACTGCAATCTCCACCTTCCAGGCTCAAATGATTCTCCTGCTTCAGCCTCTCAAGTAGCTGGGATTACAGGTGCACCATGCCTGGCTAATTTTTGTATTTTTAGTAGAGATGGGGTTTCACCATGTTGGCCGGGCTGGTCTCGAATCCCTGACCTCAGGTGATCCACCCACCTTGGCCTCCCAAAGTCACCCTCATTTTTGAATTAATGCATATGTTGGCTGGTAGCTATGTCCCCCAGCACTTCAGAATCTTATTAGAATATTATTCCATTATTCTCTGGATTCCATTGCTATAGGTTGAGAGTCTGTTGTTCCTTTGTAGACAATTTGTCTTTTCTGGGTCTTTGAGATCTCTTCTACTTTAGGGTTGTAAAGTTTCTCTAAACTGTGTCTAATTATGGAATCATTTATTTTTATCTTGTTCAAGGCTCATTGTGCTTCTTCAACTTCAGATTTTATATCCTTCCTCTATAAATCACGGCTGGGAATTTTCCTAGTACAAGGAAAATCCCCAGCTATCACTTCTTCCAATATTAACTTTCTTTTATTCCTGTATTTTATCCTTCTCATTTTAGCCCCAGGCCTCTGAATTTTTCCTTCGTATTCTCCATCTCTTTAACTTGTTCATGTTTCAGCTTCTCTTTATGTGAAGTTTCTATTCCTATTGTACAGAGATGAGCACCCTCCCTGCCCACCAACTGCTTTTCTGAGTCACCCCTGATGCAGGGTGAGGATCTCCCAAGCCCACCCCAGAAACCAGTGGCTCCCAAGGCTCCAGACGCTGGTGTTGAGCTGGTGGGAGTTGTGAGAAGACTCAGAAGCAGGAGATGAGTCCTCCTTCCTCCAGTCTGCCTCAACCCTGGGCCCATGGGCGTGAGCAGAAGGCACAGCAGCTTCTGGCCACATCCGAGGCCTGAAGCGGGGAGATGCTTCCCTGTAGCCTTGATGGAGGCCACCTGGGTCCCCTTCCCTCCAGGGAAATCTCCAGGGCCCCTTTGCCATGGCCTGGAGTGATGCACAGCCTGGTTCCCCTCTGCTGGCTCCAAAGTCAGGGCCAGGCTCCAGGCGTGTTTGCCTCTTTGCTATTCTTCTTCACCACCCTGTGCCAGCCCCATCCTTCATCTTAAAATAAGACCGACCTTCTCCTAGCCATCATGGTATGATGGAGGGTTTTACTGTGCTCTGGGCTCTGTGCAGTGTGAGGTGAGGGCTGTCTGCCTTATTTTACTTATGGGAAGACTCAGAGAAATTGGCCTGTTTGTCCATGTTTACACAGCAGACGAGAGGCAGGGTCAGGATTTAGAACCACGCACCTAACCACTGGACAAACAGCCCCTGAGGATACCAGGCCAGAGTAGGGAAAGGAGCCTCCTGCAGCTGGTGAGGGCAGAGACTACTCGAATGCAGGTCTCCCAACCCCCGTATTTGTGTTGGGGGTAATTGAGCCAATTCAATGGAGGTGGCCCCCGCTTTATGCAACTCTGCCGTGACCCAATTCTTCCCCATAGGGCAAAACCAGAAGGTGGCTCATCAAACTGCTGAAGTGTCCCTGCAGGTTTGTTAAATAGCAGCTCCCCCTAGTGCACTGAAAAATGACGGAATTGATTATTCAAGAGGGGAAAAGAGAGGAGAGAGAAGCGGAGAAGTGAGGGCGAGAAGGAATGAAGAAAAGGAAAGAGAAGAAAAAAGAAAAGCTGTGAATTGCTTATAGGGAGCTCTGCTACTGCCATCTCTGGAGTTATCAAAGAAGGGAACCAGCATTCACTGGGGCCCTGGGAACAAATGTTCCAGTCCATGTGACCAGGAAGCAGATGGATCTAAACCTTATTGGGAAATCTGCAACCCAGGTGGGCTTCCCAAGCCCCATTCCTGAGTGCCCTGTTAAGGGTCCAGTAGTGGCTGTGCAGGGAGCTGGGGCTCCCTTGTACTGGGTAGACCAGTTGTCTTTGGTTGTTGGGTCGGAGAGACTGGGCTGAGTTTACTGTTGCTAAGCAGAGACTCCCCTGGAGGCCATATTACTCACTGATTCCAGAAAGCAGCCCCATAGAAGAGCCTGGAGACCTCATGGTCCATCTCCCTTACTCCCTTCCCCATGTAACAGACAAAAATACTGTGTTCAGGCCAGACATGGTGGCTCATGCCTGTAATCCCAGCACTTTGGGAGGCTGAGGTGGGTGGATTGCCTGAGATCAGGAGTTTGAGACCAACCTGGCCAACATGGCGAAACCCTGTCTCTACTAAAAATATTTTTATAATTAGCTAAGCATGGTGGCAGGCGCCTATCATCCCAGCTACTTGGGCAGGAGAATCACTTAAACCTGGCAGGTGAAGGTTGCAGTGAGCTGAGATCATGCCATTGCACTCCAGCCTGCGTGACAAAAACAAAACTCCATCTCTAAAAACAAAACAAAAAAAACCACTGTTCCACCCAAAATGGCATATTCCTGGGCCAGTAACAGAGCTGGTCTGTTGATTCCCATCCTTAGTGTTCCTAATTCTTTTCCATACCCTCTTTAAAGGAAATTCACACTTACTGACAGTCTCCCCGGGATGCTTTCTCCTTGGGTTGTCAAAACAGCTCTCAGTCTGAATAGCAGTTTGCAGGAGATACAAGGGACAAGGAAGACTAAAGGACACTATAAAACAAATGCAAACAGCAAAATGCAAAGAACTCTATGGGACAAATGGCCCAGTTTCATCCACAAATGTACTGCAAGAGAAAAAGTGAGGGAAGGATAACTAATAGATTAACAGAGATGAAGAGACATGCTGTCTCAGACCATGTGAATTGCAATAACAAAATACCTGAGACTAGGTACATTGAAATATACTGAGACTAGAAATTTATTTTCTGCAGTTCTGGAGGCTGGGAAGTCCAAGATCCAGGCACTGGCAGGTTTGATGTCTGGTGAGGGCTGCTGTCTGCTTCCAAATGGCACCTTCTTGCCTCTTCCTGCGGAGAGGATGAAGACTATGTCCTCACAGGCAGATGTTGGAAGAGTAAAAAGAATGAACATCAGTTCCCCCCAGCCTTTTAATGAGGTCATTAATCCCATTCATGAAGGCAGAACCCTCATGACTTAACTGCCCCCTAAGGGCTTCACTTTCAAACACTGGGACTGGGCACGGTGGCTCACAACCACAATCCCAGCACTTTGGGAGGCTGAGGCAGGTGGATGGCTTAAGACCAGGAGCTCAAGACTGGCCTGGGCAACACAGCGAGACTTCTGTCTGTACAAAAATAAAAATTAAATTTAAAAAGTTAGCTAGGTATGGTGGTGCTTGCCTATGATCCCAGCTACTTGGGTGGGAGGATCGCTTGAGCTCAGGAAGTTGAGATTGCAGTGAGCCATGACTGCACCACTATACTCTAGCCTGTGTGACAGAGCAATAAGTAAATACATACATAAAATAAATATAAATAAATACTATCACCATGGAAATTATGAATTCAACACATGAATTTGGAGGACATATTTTCACCATGGTACATGCCAATCAAATGCAAATATAAGCCTTGTTGGGATGATTTGAACAAAGCAACTATAGAAAAATGCAGACACTGACTAGATAGTGACTAGATACTTCCATGCTACTATCAAGTCATTGTCATTTTTTAGGTGTGGTTCAATATTAAGATGATGTTCGAAACAAAGGGATTGTTATCTTCTGCAGATAACACACAAATTGAGGTGTCTACAGAGGAAAGTCGATGATGTCTCAAGTTTGTCCCATGATAATCCTGAAGGAGTGTCGTAATGGGGGATTGGATGAGACCACGTACGATGAGGATCACCTGGGGGCTCATCATCCTATTTTCTCTCTCATTTTATGTATTTACATTTTCCTTCATTAAAAAAAGTTAAGACATGGAAAATCTGTGATGCAGAAAAGCTAAACCCAGAATATTGACATTTATTTTGCTTATATTTTTTTCTATGACTGCATAAAAGAGTGATAACTGATGTAATAACAATTTACATACAAAATAACAATGGTAAGCAACAAGACAGCACGGTGTCCTGGTGGCCTCGGCAGGATTCTTCCCCTGTTGTCTCAGTGTCTGTGAACTTCAGCATTTTCCATCTTTGCAGAGGAAACAAGCTCTGCTCCATGAAGGAGATTATCCAGGTTCAGCAGGTGAAGCCCGTCTGCATCCTGAGCTGGGGGTGGGGGGCGCAGTGTGCCCTGGGAGCTTTCCATTGCACCACAATCCCTTCTCCAGGGATGCAGACCAGGCCTCGGATGCCAGGAACCCGCTGGAGCAGACATTGATCAATGGCAACCTAGGAGGCCACTGACCGCTGCTGACACTCAGCAGGTGGCCTCTTGGAAACAAAACCGGGGTTGGCAGTGGGTCAGATCCCACAGGAAATGTCGAACCCAAACAGGAATAACTCTCTGTACTCCCTGGAGTTTGGAAGGACAGATGGGGCGTCCTTGCTCAGACCAGACAACTGTACTATTTCAAAATCCCAGCCAAGCTGCTGATCCAGGGGGACAGGACCGGGAGGATCCAGGGACAGCAGATCATCGCTTTCTCCAGGACAAGAGCTGCTTGCTGAAGGTCATGTCTGGTGACCAAAGCGCTGGGGCTGGTATAAACCCAGGAGAGAAGCAGAGTCAAAGGACACCACTGGGCAATGCACTAAAGGAAATATGCAAGTGAGCAATTCACACCAGAAGAAATATTCAGCTTTGCCAGAAATAAAATAAATGAAAACAACAACAGTACACGTTTGTGCCTTTAAAATTGACAAACGTATTAAAAATGCATAATGCTCCAGATGAAAAGGGTCTGAGAAGATATAACACCTAAATGCAATGTGGGATTCTGCATTAGGATTGGGGTTGGGGGTAAGTCGAGAGGGCATTATTGGAAATTTGGTAAAATTTGAATATGGATTGTGGATTAGAAAATAGTAGTAACTCCTGACCTCAAATGATCAGCCTGTCTAGGCCTCCCAAAGTGCTGGTATTAACATGGTGAAAACCCCATCTCTACTAAAGATACAAATCTAGGTGGGTGAGTTGGTGGGTTCCTGTAATCCCATTTACTCAGGAGGTTGAGGCAGAAGAATCATTTGAACCTGGGAGGTGGAGGTTGCAGTGAGCCAAGATTGTGCCACTGCTGCACCCCAGCCTGGAAGACAGAGTGAGATTCTGTCTCAAAAAAAAAAAAAAAGAAAAAGAAAAAAGAAAATAGCAATAATCACATCAGCACATCAACGTTAAATTTACTGATTTTTATAATGTACAGTGGTTATGTAAGAGGTTGTTGGGAAATGCACACAGAAATAACTAGGGATAAAGCATTGTGATGTTTGCAACTCACCTTAAATGGTCCAGAAAGCAAAAGAAGGAGGATGGATGGGGTTGAGAGGGAGGGAGAAGGAGGAGGAAAGCAAATGGGGCAAATGTTAGCACTTGGCGAATCTAGGCAACAGGGGTGGTCTTTGTTCTCCTCTTGCAATCTTTCTGTAAATTTGAAATTATATCAAAATGTTTTTAAAAAGCTTATAGTGCTCGGTGCTGGCAGAAGTGCAGGGAAATGAAAACTCTTGTTTTGGAGTAGAAGCAGAGGAAATTGGCACCTGTGTGCTGGAAGAGAATTAGGCAATGAACAGCAAAGCTTTGACTCAGTAATTCCGCTTCCAGATATTCAGCCTGGAGAAATAAGTATACAGTGGAGAAAGAAAATATAGTCTATACATGCAGTAGAATATTGTTCAGTCTTAGAAGAAGGAAATTCTGACGTGCTACAACATGGATGAAGCTTGAGGACATCACTCATTGCCTGTTGCAGAAGGACAAATGCAGTACAATTCATTCCACTTACATGAGATATCCAGAGTGGTCAAATTCATAGCGACGGGAAGTAGAATGTGGCTGCTAGGGGCTGGGGAGAGGGGAATGGGAGTTGCTGTTTCATGAGTATAGAGTTTCAGTTTTACGAGACAAAGAGTTCTGGTGATGGATGTACAACATTATAAATGTCTTTAATACCAGTGAAATGTGTACAGTTAAAAATGGTTAAGACGGTACATTTTATGTTATGTGTATTTTACCACAATAACAAAATTGGGGGGGGGGAGAGAGAACAAACCATAGGTGTGTACACAGATCCAACCACAAAGATTTTCACCAAAGCACTGACTGTTCCAGAATAGAAAGTGAAATAAATGGTAGGTTCAGAGAATGAAACCCTGTGTAACCATTTAAACGATATTGTGAAAGAATCACATGGGAAAGTGTTCATAATACATTCAGTGGGGGAAAAAAGTTTCCAAGACATTAAGTTCAGTACCAGTCAAAACCAAACCAACTCTGTGAGTGAGTGTGTGTGTGTGTGGTGGTGGGGTCCATTGTAAGCTCCCTGAGGTCAGGAACCAAGTCTTATTCATTATGGTATTCCCAGTGCCTAGGACGGTGCCTGAAATCCAGGGGATGCTAGTAAGTGTTGTTTAATCAATGAGCAAAGAGCAATTGAAAACAGGACCAGAGAACATACTTCAAAAGGTTCACAGCTGTATTTCTGAATGGTGTAAAAGGCAGGTGATGTTAATTTTCTTGTGTCTGTATCTAAGCTCTAACTGTCCTACACAGAACACTGATCTATTTTGCAGTATATTATTTAAAACAACAAATGAAATTATTTTAGGCAATCGTGAATTATTTAAAGCAATAAATGCAATTACTTAAAACAATTGTAAATTATTTAAAACAATAAATACAAAGCCAGGAAAGTGGCCTTAATCTCAGTGCCCTTGGGTACAGGATTTCTCTGGCATAGGGTTCAAGGTCACCATAGACCACTAGAAATTACTCCAGCCAATTCTCCAAGTGCGTCAGTATTCCAAAAGCCCAGTCACCCTGGGGCCAAAGGGGACAGTGACCTTAAGCAAGTCATTGGCTCTCTTCTTGGCCTCTGCTTTCTCCCCTGGAGCACCCAGGACAGGGCCTGTGCCATTAGCCCCTTCCCTCCAAGCAGACATGGATGTGGCAGGGATGGGAAGGAAATTATTATTGTCTCCATTTGACAGATGTGGTGGCTAATGTCATGAGGCTGAAACCCCAGTGGGGCTGTGCGGTTGTGGGGTGCTGTGGCAGGTTTTCCTTATATATCTGTCCCCATTCCCATGCCGGATAGCCAAGAACCCCTCCCCCACCCTGCTGTGACACTGCCTGATCCCAACCACCTGAAAACCTACCTGCCCAGGAGGTGAGACTCACAAGTGTCCCTGTCCTGTGAGTGCTCCTGGAGAGTGCGGTTTCCTGCCAGGATGATAAACAGCTGCTCTCCAGTCCTGGCCCAGACCTGTCACTTCTCTGACCCAGGGAATGATCTAGTGCAAGAGCGGGGCCAGATCCTCTGGGAAGACAGACAGCCTATGGAATGCTCATCACAGGACGGCTGTAGACACAACCCAGGGCTTGTTTTGAATGAAAAGCAAAATGAGTATTAAAAAAAATAGACTTTATGTTTGGGGCAATTTTTAGGTTTACATAAAAGTTGAGTGGAAAGTACTGAGTTCCCAGATACCCCGTAACCACCCGCTTCCCTTGTTAAGTTATATAATGCTACCGTTGACGAGCCAATATTGGTACATAATTATTACTTAAAGCCCATAGTTTACCGATTCCTTGCTCTTCTTTTAATCATGGTAAAATACACACAACATAGGTTTTTGCCATTTTAACCATTTTTAATTGTACCATTCAGTGACGTTAAGTGCATTCGTACTGCTGTGCACCATCACCACCATCCCGCTCCCAAACTGAAACTCCGTACCCATGAAACCGTAAGTTCCCACAGGCTTCACTCTAGGAGTATATTCTGCGAGTTTGGGCACACGTGTAATGATTGGTAGCCACCATTACAGTGTCACACAGAGTAGTTTCACTGTCTTAAAAATCCTATTTATGGCCGGGCGCGGTGGCTCACGCCTGTAATCCCAGCACTTTGGGAGGCTGAGGCGGGTGGATCACGAGGTCAAGATATCGGGACCATCCTGGTCAACATGGTGAAACCCCGTCTCTACCAAAAATACAAAAAATTAGCTGGGCATGGTGGCGCCTGCCTGTAATCCCAGCTACTCAGGAGGCTGAGGCAGGAGAATTGCCTGAGCCCAGGAGGCAGAGATTGCGGTGAGCCAAGATCGCGCCATTGCACTCCAGCCTGGGAAACAAGAGCGAAACTGTCTCAAAAAAAAAAAAAAAAAAAAAAAATCCTATTTATTCCTCCTTCCCCCTGCTCAAACCTGTGGCAACCTGGTCTTTTTATTATCTCCATAGCTTTGCCCTTTCCAGAATGTCATAGAGTTGGAATCATACAATCTGCAGCCTGTCTAGATTGGCTTTATTGTTATTTTTATTATTATTTTGAGACAGAGTCTTGCTCTGTCGCCCAGGCTGGACTGCAGTGGTGTGATCTTGGCTCACTGCAACCTCTGCCTCCTGGATTCAAGAGATTCTCCTGCCTCAGCCTCCTGAGGAGCTGGGATGACAGGCCTGCACCACCATGCTCAGCTAATTTTTTGTATTTAGTAGAAATGGGGTTTCACCATGTTGGCCAGGCTGGTCTTGAACTCCCGACCTCAGGTGATCCACCCACTTCAGCCTCCCAAAGTGCTGGGATTACAGGAGTGAGCCACTGTACCAGGCCTCAGTTTGGTTTCTTTCACTTAGCAATATGCCCTTAAGACTCCTTCGTGTTGTTTTATGGCTTGATAGGAACATTTCTAATATGGTTTAGCTGTGTCTCCACACAAATCTCACCTTGAATTGTAATAACCCCCACATATCAAGGGTGGGGCCAGGTGGAGGTAATCGAATCATGGAGATGGGTTTTCCAGGCTGTTCTTGGGGTAGTGAATAAGTCTCACAAGATCTGATGGTTTTATAAAGGGTAGTTCCCCTGCACACGCTCTTTTGCCTGCCACCATGCAAGAAGTTCCTTCGCTCTTCCTTCGTCTTTTGCCATGATTGTGAGGCCTCCCTAGCCATGTGAAACTGTGAGTTCATTAAACCTCTTTCCTTTATAAATTAGCCAGTCTCATTTATGTCTTTATTAGCAGCATGAGAACGAACTAATACAATTTCTTTTTAGTGTTCAATAATATTTCATCATCTGGATACACCACAGTTCGTTAATTCAAAAATGAGAAACTTTTCATGATAAATAATTATGTTGGCTAGGTGCGGTGGCTCGCACCTGTAATCCCAGCACTCTGGGAGGCTGATCACCTGAGATCGGGAGTTCGAGACTAGCCTGACCAACACTGAGAAACCCTGTCTCTACTAAAAACACAAAATTAGCTGTGCATCATGGCGCATGCCTGTAATCCCAGCTACTCAGGAGGCTGAGGCAGGAGAATTGCTTGGACCCAGGAGGCAGAAGTTGTGGTGAGCCAAGATCACACCATTGCACTCCAGCATGGACGATAACAGTGAAACTCCGTCTCAAAAACAAAAAATTATGTTAATTTTTAGAAACCGAGAAAATCCAAGAGAGAAAGAACAAAAACCAATCCTCTGTCACTCTCCCTCTTAAAGATCATGCTGTTAATATTCTGCTATATTTCCTTCCGTGTGTGTGTGCACGCACACGTGTATGCATGAATGTGTGGAATCATTTTGGCTTGACTTGTAGCTACAGTCGCATGGTACAGAAAATTTCTGATTCCTCTTTTTTCACTAATTATCACTTGAACTCCCTTCACATTGTAAATTCTTTATAAGCATTTTTTCTTGTGCATTCTTGTAAATGTCTGCAGTGATTTCCCTTGAGTGGGGATATCACAACTTCTTAATCATGCCTCTGTTTCTGGACTTTGGGGCTGTTTTCATTTTCTTGCTAATATAAATAAGTTTATCCTGAGCTCTGGGTCCGTAACTAGTTGTATGGCTCCCCCTGCTCCACCCATCCACTTGCTAGGAAGTGGAATTGCTGAGACAGAGAATGTGAATGTTTTAAGACATCCCCAAGATTTCTTTCTTTTTTAATGCATTTTTTATTTTGGTGGAAAACACACAATATAAAAGTTACCACCATAAACCACTTTTAAGGGTACAGTTCAGTAGTGTTAAGTATATTTACATTGTTGCGAAACAGATCTCCAGAACTTTTTCATCTTGCAAAACTGAAATTCCATATCCATTAAAACAGCAGCTCCTCTCGCCCCCACTGCCCCAGCCCTGGCAATCACCATTCTACTTTCTGTTTCTATGCTTTTGACTATTCTAGGTACCTCACATAAGTGGAATCAGACTGGCTTCCACTTGGTGCTTGTTATTTTGTGACTGGCTTCTTTAATTTAGCATTATATCCTCAACGTTCATCCATGCTGAAGCATGTGACAGGATTTCTTTGCTTTTAAAGGCTGAATAATATTTCTGCTGTGGTCTGAATATTTTTGTACACCCCGCCTCTGCCAAACAAAAATTCATTTGTTGACACCTGATCATGAATGTTGTGGTATCAGGAAATGCAGCCCTTGAGAGGTGATTAGGACATGGGGGCAGAGCCCTCATGAGTGGGATAGTGCCCTTTATTAAAGCAACCCAAGAGAGGCTCCTCACGCCTTCCAACGTGTGAGGATACAGCAGGAAGATGCAATCTATGACCTAGGAAGTGGACCATCATCAGACACTAAATCTGCTGGCACCTTGTTCTTGGACTTCCCAGCCCCCAAACCTGTGACAAATAAACTTCTGTTGTTCATAAGGCACCTAGTCTAAGGTGTTTTGTTCTAGCAACCTGATTGAACAAAGACAATTCCATTGTATGTATATATACCACATTTTGTCTATCCATTCATCCATCAGTGGACATGTGTGTTTCTACCTCCCCCACTTTTTTTTTTTTTTTTTTTTAAGACAGAGTCTTATGCTTTTGCTCAGGCTGGAGTATAGTGACACAATCTTGGCTCACTGCAACCTCTGCCTCCTGGGATCAAGTGATTCTCCTGTCTCAGCCTCCCAAGTAGCTGGGATTACAGGCATGCCACCACATGCAGCTGATTTTTGTATTTTTAGTAGAGATGGGGTTTCACCAAGTTGGCCAGGCTGGTCTTGAACTCCTGGCCTCAGTGATCCACCCACCTTGGCCCCCCAAAATGCTGGGATTACAGGCATGAGCAACCATGCCCAGCCATCTACCTCTTGATTATTGTCTATAATGTTGCTATGCACAAGGGTGTACACTATCTGCTAGAGTCCCTGCTTTCAATTTTTTAAAATATATACCCAGAATTGAGATTGCTGATTGTTAGTCCATTTGCACTGCTATAACAAAATACCTAAGACTAGGTAATTTATAAACTACAGACATTTATTTACTCACAGCTCTGGAGGCTGGGAAGTCCAAATGCAAGGTGCTGGCAGGTTTGATGTCCAGTGAGGTCTACTTTCTACTTCCAGGATGGTGCATTCTTGCTGTGTTATCACATGTGGAAGAGAACAAAAGGGCACAAATGCTGCTTTCTTGCATGGAAGGGCCCAGCAGTTCCCTGGAGCCTTTTTTTATAAGGGCATTAACCCCATTCAGGAGTGCTCTGCCCCCATGACTCTATAGCTTCCCAGAAGGCCTCATCTCTTAATACCAACACAGTAGGGACTGAGTTTCAACATGAAATTTACATTCACACTATAGCAGCTAGATCACATGGTAGTTCTATTTTTAATTTTTTAAAAAAGAAACTTTATACTATTTTCCATAGGATTGCAATCCCACTAACAGTGCACAAGGGTTCCAATTTCTCCACATTTTCCCTAACACTTGTTATTTTCATGTTCTTTTTTGCATGGGGGTGGGAGGATTTTTTTTCAGAGCTAGAAGGGATCATCTGGTCAGTGAGTCCCAATCTAAATGACTTTTTGACTTTGAATCCATGTTTCAATACATTTTTGCCTATCAAACAAATTTTACCAAAATTCATTCTTTTCTTTTCTTTTTTTATTTTTTGAGACAGAGTCTTGCTCTGTTGCCCAGGCTGGAGTGCAGTGGTGTGATCTCAGCTCACTGCAACCTCTGACTCCAGGGTTCAAGTGATTCTCAGCCTCTGTACTTGGAATTATAGGCACCTACCACCATACCCAGCTAATTTTTGTATTTTTAGTAGAGATGGGGTTTGCCATATTGGCCAGGCTGGTCTCAAACACCTGGCCTCAAGCAATCCTCCTGCCTTGACCTCCCAAAGTATTGGGATGGCAGGCGTGAGATACTGTCCCTGGCCTTGTTCTTCCCTTCTTCCTGGGCATGCTCCCAGCTAGCGAGGGCCTTTCCCAAAAGCCAGCTGTGGCCATGACACTGTGTTCTCACCAGCAGAATGGGGACAGAAGTGATCTACACCAGCTCTGCCCTTGGCTATTTAAAGGTCTTGTTTGGGCTGGGCACAGTGGCTCACACTTGTAATCCCAGCACTCTGGGAGGCCGAGGTGGGTGGATCACCTGGGGTCAGGAGTTCAAAACCAGCCTGACCAGCATAGTAAAACTCTGTCTCTACTAAAAATACAAAACATTAGCTGGGCATGGTGATGGATGCCTGTAATTCCAGATACTTGGGAGGCTGAGGCAGTAGAATCTCTTGAACCAGGGAGGTGGAGGTCGCAGTGAGCTGAGATCGTGCCATTGCACTCCAGCCTGGGCAACGAGAGCGAAACTCTATCTCAAAAATTAAGTAAAATAGAAGTCTTATTTGCCCTGGACTTTCTCTCTCCTTCCTGTAAGCAGAATTCAGGATAGTGGCCTGTCCTGCCAGCCTTGGCTTGCTGTGCTGCTACACAGTCTTTTTGTTACAGAATGTGGCCTGTTCCCTGACTAATACAAGCATAAAGGACCACACACACCCACGCAAAAGGACCTGTGTTATTCGTTGTTCATTCAGCATTATTCCTTGGATATTGCTTGTAATAGCTGAAGACTGGAAACAACCTTAATGTCTGCTAGTAGGTGACTGGTTAAAGAAAATGAGACACATCTGTCCAGTCGAATTCCATGCAGCTATTTTTTAAAAATAAGGAAACAAATCTTAAAAAATAGACTATTTTTTAGTGCAGTTTTAGGTTCAGAGCAAAATTGAGAGAAAGGTACAAAGAATTCCTATATACCCCCTGCTCTGACCCATGCACAGCCTCCCCCATCATCAACATCCCCCACCAGAGTGGTGCATTTATGACAATTGATGAACCACCACTGATGCATCATAATCACCCAGAGTCCATAGTTCACAGCTCACTGCAGCCTCTATCTCCTGGGCTCAAGGGATCCTCCAGCCTCAGCCTCCTAAGGAGCCGTGACTACTCAGGTATGTGTAGGTATGTGCCACCACACACAGCTAATTTTTAAAATTTTGTCTAGAGACAGAAATGTTGGCTAGAGTGGTCTCAAACTCCTGGGCTCAAGTGATTCTCCTGCCTCAACCTCCCAAAATGCTAGAATTACAGGTGTGAGACACTGCAACTGGCCCCAAAGTCCATAATTTACATTAGGGGTTACTCTTGGTGTCACATTTTCTGTGGGTTTGGACAAATGTGTATCCACCATTACAGTATCATATAGAGTAGGGATCCTCCAGCCTCAGCCTCCTAAGGAGCTGTGACTACTCAGGTATGTGTAGCTTTCCCTAAAGGGAAGCTTTTTGGTTAAAGAAAAAAGAAAGGAGGAACGATCCAAGATGGCCGATCGATAACAGCTCGGGATTGCAGCCCTCAGTCAAAGCGCAGAGAACTAGAAGACGCCACACTTTCAGACAAATTCTGGTCACTCACGGAGCAGAAGATCCCCAGTGGAGGAACCACACGAGTCACCAGCGTGACTCTTGTGGCTGGTGCAGTGGTTTCGCCAGCACCTCGGCACAGCAGCTCTTGGAGCAGAGTAAACAGGGCCAGCTCCCCTTCTGACCGAAGCTTGGAGGACCCACATGGGTCCCCAGCACGACTCTTGTGGCTGGCGCAGCGGCTTCACCGGCACCTTGGCGTGGCAGCTCTCGGTGCAGAGTAAACGAGACTGGTTCCCCTTTTGACCAAGGTTTGGAGCCCGGGGAAGGCAGAGTCGCCCATTACGGACACAAGAAGGAAGCCAGACAGGAGAATCCTGGGCAGAAAAGCACCATCAGTCTTAACGCCGCGGTTCTGGCCCTGGGAACTAACAACTTGGACGTCCAATCAAGAGACATAATCTGAAAGTTGGTAATTTCAAAGACGACAGGAGGATAAATTTACAATGATGGGAAGAAACCAGCGTAAAAAGGCTGAGAATACTCAAAATCAGAACACCTCTCCCTCTAAAGATGATCACAGTTCCACATCAACAATGGAACAAGGCTTGACGGAGAACGAGCACATCCCAATGACAGAATCACTCTTCAAGGAATGGATAATAAGAAACTTCTGTGAGTTAAAAGAACATGTTGTAGCCCAACATAAAGAAACTAGGAACTTTGAAAAAAGGTTTGATGAAATCCTATTGAGAATAGACCACTTAGAGAGGAATATAAGTGAATTAATGGAACTGAAGAATACAATACAGGAACTCCGAGAAGTATGCACAGTTTTAAACACTCGAATTGTTCAAGCAGAAGAAAGGATATCAGAGGTTGAAGTCCAACTTAATGAAATAAAATGAGAGGACAAGATTAGAGATAAAAGGATAAAAAGGAATGAGCAAAGTCTCCAAGAAATGTGGGACTATGTGAAAAGACCAAATTTAGGTTTGATAGGTGTACCTGAATGCGATGGAGAGAATGAATCCAAGCTGGAAAATACCCTTCAGGATATTATCCAGGAAAATTTTCCTGAACTAGCAAAGCAGGACAATATTCAACCCCAGGTAATACAGAGAACACCACAAAGATATTCCTCAAGAAGAGCAACCCCAAGGCACATAATCATTAGATTCACCAGGGTTGAAACAAAGGAGAAAATACTAAGGGCAGCCAGAGAGAAAGGTCAGGTTACCCACAAAGGCAAGCCTATCAGACTTACAGCAGATCTCTCAGCAGAAACCCTACAAGCCAGAAGAGAGTGGGGGCCAATATTCAACATCCTCAAAGAACAGAACCTTCAGCCCAGAATTTCATATTCAGCCAAACTAAGCTTCACAACTGAAGGAAAAAGAAAATCTTTTATGAACAAGCAAGTACTCAGAGATTTTATTACCACCAGGCCTGCTTTACAAGAGCTTCTGAAAGAGGCATTACACACAGAAAGAAACAACCAGTATTAGCCTTTCTAAAAATATACCAAAAAGTAAAGAGCACCAACATAAAGAAGAATTTTCATCAATGAATGGATCAAACAGCCAGTTAACATCAAATGGCAGTAATCCTAAATTTAAATCGACTAAATCCCCCAATCAAAAGACACAGCCAAAACCCAATGGCATGTTACATCCAGACCTGTTTCACATGCAAGGATACACAAAGACTCAAAACAAAGGAATGGAGAAAGATTTACCAACCAAATGGAGAGCAAAAATAAATAAATAAATAAATAAATAAATAAATAAATAAATAAATAAAAAGCAGGAGTTGCAATTCTCGTAGCAGATAAAAATAGATTTTAAAGCAACAAAGATATAGTGGTAAAAGGATCAATACAACAACAAGAGCTAACGATCCTAACACCCAGATACATAGAGACTTAGATTCAATGAGACAGAAAATTAATAAGGATATCAAGGACTCGAACTCAGATCCGGAACAAGTAAACTTAATCAATATTTATAGAGCTTTCCACTTCAAATACATAAAATATACATTCTTGTCAATACCACATCACACCTACTCATAGGTTTAAATAAAACATTGATTGGCCATTATTAATACCCATTTTTTTTTCAGAATAAAGCAATATTTCCGTTCACCCTCCCTCTCTCTCTTCCTCTTTCTTTCTCTCCTTTACTCATTTTTTTTCTTTCCTTCTCTCAAAAAAAGAAATCAACTTGTAAACCTCTAGATCCAGGTCAGCAATGTCTCTCTCATTGCTTGAATTCCTTCCTTCCCTTTCCTCCCTCCCTCCCCCTCTTCCTCCCTTCCTGCCTTCCTCCCTTCCTTCTTCCCTCCCTAAAAAAAAAAAAGAAAAAAGAAAGTTCAAAACATGTGCTTGTTGACATTTGTATTTTTAAAAAAGCTGGAGAGAGAATATATATTTAGATTTGCTTGTATAAGCCTAATGGAGGTCAGGGTGGGAGGAAGATTTTCGGTTTGTCTTTTTAAACTTTTTGTTTTTTGAAACTGAGTCTCACTCTATCGCCCAGGCTAGAGTGCAGTGGTGCAATCTCGGCTCACTTCAACCTCCACCTCCGGGTTAAAGTGATTCTCCTGCCTTAGCCTCCTGAGTAGCTGGGACTACAGACATGTGTCACTATCCCTGGCTAATTTTTATATTTTTACTAGAGATGGAGTTTTACCACGCTGTCCAGGCTGGTCTCAAACTCCTGGCCTCAAGTAATCCACCTGCCTCCCAAAGTGCTGGGATTACAGGCATGAGCCACTGGCCTTTTTATACATTTTGATGTTAGAATCATGTGAATGCATTACCTATTCTGAACATAAATAAATAAATAAATACAATGTAAAAGTTTAAATCATTTGGCCAGACTCGGTGGCTCACACCTGTAATCCCAGCACTTTGGGAGTCCGAGGTGGGTTGATCACCTGAAGTCAGGAGTTTGAGACCAGCCTGCCCAACATGGTGAAACCCTGTCTCTACTAAAAATACAAATAAATTAGGTGGGCATGGTGGCAGGCACCTGTAATCTCAGCTTCTCGGGAGGCTGAAGTAGAAGAAACGCTTAAACTCAGGAGTCGGAGGTTGCAAGGAGCTGAGATCACGCCACTGCACTCCAGTCTAGGTGACAAGAGCAAAACTCCATCCCCTCCCCCTACCAAAAAAAAGTTTAAATAATTCATCTTTCTGTTTCACTGTAACTCAAAGTTCAGATAAGTCTACTCTGATTTCTAATGTTGACCCCCTGAGCTGAAAACCTGCCGGCAGAAGGAATGGGGCTGTGGGTGTAGCCTCCATGCACAGAGGGAGTTGGGCTACACCCCCTGACCCTGGGGCTCCTGCCCCTGTCCTGCCCACGTGTGGCCTGCTATGCCCAGGGGAGACCCAGCCCTCCATCTGCCATCCCAGACAGCCAAGCTATTCACCCTCTTCCTGCCAACTGAGCATTCTAATTACACAATAAATACTAATTTCCCATGACTAGGCTCTTCCACAGCTGTAGACATTAACCGAGGCTCACCATTCATTATCTGTGCTCGCTGCTCCAGGATTTAATTATGCTTTGGCAGACATAACATTTCACGTAGGATGATTGAGGACACAGAGCTTGCAAAGATGCCCTCTTCTCATCAGGTGGCCTGACAAAGCTGCTCCAGCCCCTGGGATTTTCCCTGTGAATAGAAGGAGATACCAGAGAAGGAAACAGACACCAGTGCCTGCTGTACACTGGGAAGAACGAGGCATTGTCGAATACATCATTTCATCAAATTCTTGCAACCACTGTGGGAGATGTGTCCCTACTTTACCGATGAGGAAAACTCAGACTCAGTGACTTGCCAAGTAACTGGCAGAGCTGCAGGCCCAGCCAAAGCACTAACAAGAATTATTACATCTTAGTCTCACATGTGTTTGTTAAGAAAACAAAACACTGAAGTATCTGAAGCCTAGAAAGATTGTGACGTACACACAGCCACACACCCAGATTCACACTCTCAGTGTCATTGTCAGGAAGGCAGCAGAGAAGGTGGGAGAGAGATCGGCCCTGATGTTAGACTACCTGGTTCAAGTCCTGGCCTTATCATTGACCTCACTTTAACAAGGAGACCTGAGTCAGGTTACTTGCTCTCCTCACCAATGGCACCTAACAGTTTGGGTGGTCACAAAGATGAAACGATATATTTATAGGGTGTGGCACCTGGGACTTTTTTTTATAATTTCCCCAAGATTTCTTCCCCTAGAGCCACAACACACTAGCTTGTGGCCTTTATTTCAAAGTCACTTTGATAAATGTGGGGGGAAAATCGCCCCACTGATTCATGATTCCCCTCCCCGCCTTCTTGTAAGATGACTTTTTGGCTTCTTCCACTCAGAGGTAGAGTCTGTTTCCTCACCTCTTGAAGCTGGGCTGGCCTTATTCTTTGACCAACAGAATAAAACGGAAGTGACAATGTGCCAGTTCCAAGCCTGGTCTTGCAATTTTCCTCACTCCCTTGGAGCTCTGCCACACTCATGTGAATAAGCTCAAGCTAGCCTGCTGGTTGGGCAAGACACATAGCCCAGCTGCCCCCATCACTCCAGCCAATGGCCAGCCTACTCAGATATATGAGTAAGGCCACTTAGACCAGTCAGTGTCCAGCAGACCTACTAGCTAACTGTAGACCATGAGTAAGCCCAGCTAAGATCAGCCGAGCCTAGTCCAGATGAACAGACTGTCCTATTGACTCACGAGCAATACCGTTGTTTTACATCGCTGAGTTTGGAGGGATTTTGTTACATAGCAGTAGCTAACTATATCACTGTTTATGTAACTTTCTCAGGCAAGAATAATGATGGGGCACAGTATGGTTCACATTTCACATTCCCAACTGCTCAGGCTGGGGCAAAAGTAGACAGCCCAGAGCAACCTGAAGGCAGGTCATGGGAATTATCCTTCTTATTCTCCCAGAATCCGGTGTAACTCACAATTGCATTTTTTTTTTTTTTGGTCTGAAAATGTCTTTATTTCATTCTTATTCTTAAAAGAACTTCTGCTGAATATAAACGTCTAAGCTAACAGTTTATGTTTGCTCAGACATTGAAGGTAATCATGCCCTGTCCTCTGGCTTCCACTTTGTTCATGAGAAGTCAGCTGCTAGTCTCATTGAAAGCAATCTTGTTTTCCTTCTTGGCTGCTTTAAAGACCTTCTCTTCCAGGTGTGGTGGCTCACACCTGTAATCTCAGAGCTTTGGGAGGCCAAGGCAGAAAAATTGTCTGAGGCCAGGAGTTTAATAGCAGCCTGGGCAGCAAAGCAAGACTCTGTATCCACAAAAATAAAATTTAAAAAAATTAGCCAGCATGGTAGCACATGCCCATAGTCCTAGCTACTTGGGAGGCTGGTGTGGGAGGATTGCTTACGCCAAGGAGTATGAGGCTGCAGTGAGGTATGATTGTACCACTGCACTCCAGCCTGGGTGACAGAGAAAGACCTTCTCACTCACAACGAACAAATAAACCAAAACTAATTCTTTCTGTTTTTGTGCAATTTCATCATGATTTGTCTATGCGTGGATTTCTTTTTATATATTGGACTTCTTAAATCTAAAGCTTGATTTCTGTGTTAGTTAAAATAAGTAATATATTACTTATATTACTATAACAAACAACTTCCAACTCTCAATGGCTTAGTAGAATAAAAGCTCATTGTGTGATCAGCAGGTGGCCAACTATGAAACTGTCTTGAGGGGAGTGGGGGGGAGGGCACCGAGGGACCTAGGTGTCTTCCATCTAATGCAAGGATTTTCAACCTAGGGTCTGCTGTTGCATCTCTGAGAAGCCCATAAATAGAATTTAGGGAGACAATTAACTTAAATGAGGGAAAAATTACATTGTTTTTTTCTTTACTCTCTAAAATTTAGCATTGGCCAGGCCTGGTGGCTCACACCTGTAATCCTAGCACTTTGGGAGGCCAAGGTGGGTGGATCATCTGAGATCAGGAGTTCAAGACCACTGTGGCCAATATGGTGAAATCCTGTCTCTACCAGAAATGCAAAAATTAGCCAGGTGTGGTGGCGGGAACCTGCAATCCCAGCTACTCCGGAGGCTGAGGCAGGTGAAGCGCTTGAACCATGGGGGCATGGGGTTGTAGCGAGCCAAGATTGCACCACTTCACTCCAGCTTAGGTGAAAGAATGAGACTCCTCCTTAAAAAATAAAAATAAAATAAAATTTAGCATTTTATGTAATTGTGAATGTAGACAACAAACCACAGTTTGATGCCTGTGAATTTGTTATCAATGGAAGTCACAGATATTCTTATATCATATTTTAGCTATTGCAAATATCTTAAATGATTGTTTACATTTATTTGCTACTTTGAAACTGTTGTATTAAACCTACAGTGGGATTGCATGTAATCAAAGACTTTCCATGGATGCTTGGTCAAATTAGCTGGCCCATTACCAGGCAACCTGATACTCAACAATCATTCATCCAAAAATGGTGGCATTTCGTGCTCTCACATTGGTGAGAGCTGTGTGTCCTCTGCTGTGTCCAATATTCTCTATCAATGATTGCTTACTGATCAGCACATGGAAAGGAAGAGTCAAAACCACTGTTAATGTTATAAAAGCAAATTAAGACTAGCCCGCCAGGCACGGTGGCTCATGCCTGTAATCCCAGCACTTTGTGAGGCCAAGACCGATGGATCACGAGTTTAGGAGTTCGAGACCAGCCTGACCAACATGGTGAAACCCCATCTCTTCTAAAAATACAAAAATTAGCTGGGCATGGTGGTATGTGCCTGTAATACCAGCTAACTCAGGAGGCTGAGGCAGGAGAATTGTTTGAACCCAGGAGGCGGAGGTTGCAGTGAGCTGAGATCGTCCCACGGCACTGCAGCCTGGGCAACAGAGCAAGACTCCATCTCAAAAGAAAAAGAAAAAAAAAAAAAAAAGAGCAGCCTTCACCCTGATACATCTCTGAAAATACAATTTAACTTTAACTTGCCTACATTTCAATGAATGATCTTGTTTTTTAACGTATTAATAGAGATGTATATATGGTTTTTTGTCCTTTTTCTCTCTTGGATGCCTGCTTCTTTTTCCACTAAGTATGCCATTTCAATTATTATACTTTTAATCTCCAGAAGTTCCATTTGATTCTTTTCCTTTTTTTTGACCATTTTTAATAGACTTTTAAATTTCCTAAACATCTTTTCACATTCATATCCTGCTATAAACTGAATGTTTGTGTCCTCCCCAAATTCATATGCTCAAGTCCTAACCCCCAACGTAATGGCATTTGGAGGTGGGGCCTTTGGGAGGTAATTAGCTTTAGATGAAATCATGAGGGTGGAGCCCCCATGATGCTATTAGTGTCCTTATATGAAGAGGAAGGGACAACAGAGCTCTTGCTCGATCTCGGCCATGTGAGGATACCACAGAAGGCAGCTATCTACAAGGCAACAAGAAGGCCCTCACCAGACACTGAATCTGCCAGCATCTTGATCTTGGACTTCCCAGCCCCTGAAAACATAAGAAATAAATGGTTAAGCCACCCCATTTATGGTATTTTGTTATAGCAGCCTGAGCTAAGATGTATCTCTAGCACCAAGCATAATGCCTGGCAAATAACGGGTACTCAATAAATAGTTGCTGGATGAAAGCACACCTGTTACTTGGCATCATGTGTGCTTGAAGGCAGGGGGTGGGGCCAATGGAGGGAAAAGTGCAGGCCCTCCCGCTGAGGACTCCACAGGGCTGAGCCAGATGCAGCCACACTCACTGCTTACCATCTGTGGTTTCTTCATGTATAAACAAGGGATAATAATTATGTTTCCTTCCAGACAGTAGTGGGGCTAAATTATGAATCACAGCAAACGCTCAGAACATTGCCTCACAGAACTTACTAAGTGCATACTCATTAGTATACTACATATTCCTATAATATCAGTAACTATTTTATTTATGTTACAGTTATTGTTGTTATACACCAAGCCCTGCACAACACACACATCATCTCATTTAAATCCTTATAACCTTACCCAAAGCAATGGACATCATTAGCCACATTTAACATGAGGAAATGGAGGCTCTGAGAGGCTAGGTAACTTGCATTTGTTCAAAAAACAAAAGCTATTATGATTATTATGTTCCTAAGTACTGTAAGAGTGAGACCAAGTTCTGCGAGGGGTGAGGAGAAAGGGTGGTTTTCCATAGGAGACCACATGTGGTGCCCCTTACACAGTTGCTTCATTATCCTCCACTCTAAGCCTCCAGTGCCCTGTGACCCAGGCATCTTTGTCCTGCACAGATGGGGTCAGCACTATTGAGTGACATGTCCAGGCCTCCAGCACAGTCAGAGCCCAGGTCTGCATGACAAGATGAAGCTCCCTCCCTGCCCAGGTGCCTTGGCATACTCAGCAGTGGAGACACTAGTGGCCTTTCAGAAACTAAACATGGCCCGGAGTGAGCCAAGGCAGGGTGTGGAGTGGGGTGGGAGTGGGGAAGACGAAGGCCTGGGCAATCCTGGCACAGCATGAAGCAGGAGGACTGTAGACAGTTCTGGGTAGAAGGGGCCCTGGCCAGGTGCTCTTGGGGAAGGAGACTGATATGGTTTGGCTGTGCCCCCACTCAAATCTCAGCTTGAAATGTAACTCCCACAATTCCCACCTGTTGTGGGAGGAAGCCAGTGGGAGGTAATTGAATCATGGGGGAAAGTCTTTCCTGTGCTGTTCTCATGATGGTGGATAAATCTCATGAGATCTGATGGTTTCATAAAGAGGAATTCCCTGGCACAAGTTCTCTCTCTTTGCTGCCATCCATGTAAGATGTGACTTGCTCCTCCTTGCCTTCCACTGTGATTGTGAAGCCTCCTAAGCTATGTGGAACTGTAAGTCCATTAAACCTGTTTTTCTTCCCTGTCTTGGATATGTCTTTATCAGCAGCATGAAAATGGACCTAATACAGAGACTGCCCTTGAGCTGCAGGCTCTGTAGAGGAAGTTGGGGAGAGGGATCTGAACTTTGTACTCAGCTCCCAGGCTGTGAAGTTCAGTGACCCTTCTGGGCTGGAGTGGGTATCTTCTATTTCTTTTAAGGTCTATTGGGCCCCAGCTGAGTTTCCATGACCCCCAGCAACTCCAGCCTCGGTGTTTTTTGTGTTGTTTTAAGCAATTACAAAATGCTTCCTATATGTTGTTTCCAGTTTCTCTAGGAAGGAATCTCAACTGGGCTTGGAAGCCATGCAAAAGATGATCTTTACCTAAAATGGCTGATTTCAAATTTCCTGTGGAGCCTGAGACCAAACTATATCAGAGCAGGATTCTGCACGCTTGAAGATCATCCTTATCAGGCCACAGAACTTCCGTTGTATACAGGGACAAAAGGTGAATGTTCCCAGAAATGCTCATGTCCCAAAATTCAGAAAGGTTCCACTTCTCACCAGTGCAGAGGTTGAAGCTCTTGGTGTTGAGAGGGTTTGTCCCCTGGTACCCAGCTGGTGGTGGTCAGCGGGGACAGTGTTGCTGCCTCTGAAAGCTGAGTTCATTGAGCTCCATTTATCACTATGCCCTGGATGTGTGTCCCTGCTGGCCTCTGTCACCATTCGTGTGATGGAAGGACCAGAAGCCAGGCATCCTGCAAGGGGACACAAAGATGATCATGATGTAGTTCCTGCCCTCAAAGAGTGCCCAAGTGGTGAGAACTACAGCCAAGGAAACCCCTCCAGTGTGGGTGATGGGAGTGGGGTGGAGGGCTATCTGCCTGGGTTAGTGGAGCCCACCATGGTTTCTCGTTGTAGCCTTTACTTCTCCATTCCATCAGGCATTGCAATCCATGGCATTGGAAATCGTACATTTATCTGTTATTTAATTTGCCTCCTCCCTTTAGCTATGAGCTCCCTGTGGGGGAGCAACAGATGTGTCACTGTAGTCCTTGTGTCTAATACATGCTTGGCACGCGCCCAGTACATGGTTGGCTTACAGGACACTTTTGGATAACGAGTCAATGAACGAAGTTGGGGAGGATGGTGGGCATGGAACAGGTGTGTAGCCAGGAAGGGGTTTGGGGATGGTGATGGTGGTGACTGAGCTAGAATAAGACAGAATGAGTGAGGAAGATACTTTGCAAGTGCATGTGGCATGTGGGTGGGTGGGTGTGGCATGAGAAGTTGGGGTGCTTGGGTGAGGCCGGCATGAGAACCCTGGGGTGTTACTTTCTCTTCATAGAATGCTCTCATTTGCATTTCAACCCCATCTATTTGAAATATTTCTCCCTTTCAAAACCCAGTTTGAATGCTCTTCCTCCTGACAGACATGTTAACCCTCAGAATGATGTACTTGGGCTGAGGTAGGGGGGTAGGGACCCACCACCTGTGGCTTATACAACTATGGAACTGGAACTGGGGGCTTAAGTGTTGCCTTGGTCCAGTTCTCTCCTGTGGCTGTTTGCCATGGGTAGGGGTACTACCTGTTCCCCTGGAAGCCCCTGGGTCCTGAGAGAAGAGGCTGCAGCAGGCACTGACTGGAGGGTGGTGGGGCTTTGGACCCTGGAGCCTTATTTGCTGGTGATGACTCCAGCGGCGTGTCTGCCATGGGACAGTTTATGCCTCGGAGTGACCATGTCTCCACTGAGTCCTCCTGCTCCTGGATCATGCTGTGCATATTAACTGTACATTAGGAGAACATCAATAATATTCACTTAGTTCTTCTTTCACGGAGTCTTCCCATTATAAAATAACCTGATTATATAAAACACACTCAAATTATCAACATGAAACATGTTCTGCCTGATGATACTCAACTGAGCCATTAATCAAAGACACGAATAATCTCTCAGGAGAACCAAGCTCTCTATGGATTTGCAGAGGTGCCCCCTCCCCCTCCTTTTTCCCCCTATTTTTTAATTATAATGTTACTGCTGGTGAGAGTGCATTAAGAATCGGATTCACTTCTGGTGGGCGGGCAAATTATCACAATCTTTCTGGAGGGCAACTAGGTGATTTGCAAAGAGTCTCAAAAGTGTCTCCACTCTTTAACCCAGTTATTCTAGGATGTATCCTAAGGCATTCATTCTCAATTCAAAAAAAATATTTTTATGACACAGCCTTTTATCACAGAATTATTAGAATAGTAAAAGATTCTTACTCTTCAGAATACCCATTATCACTAAAATAGTGAAGCTGTACTCCAGCCACTTCATAGAAATATTATGAAGCAATTTAAAATGGTGGTTAGCAACCTCAAAAATTGTCTTGAAGATTCTAAAGTGAGGTCCTTGGATTCTAAATGCCATTCTTGACTGGGTGCAGTGGCTCACACCTGTAATCCCAGCACTTTGGGAGGCTGAAGTGAGCGGATCACTTGAGGTCAGAAGTTCGAGACCAGCCTGGCCAACATGGCGAAACCCTGTCTCTACTAAAAATACAAAAATTGGCTGCGTGTGGTGGTGCGTGCCCTAAGTCCCAGCTATTTGGGAAGCTGAGGCAGGAGAATCATTTGAACCCAGGAGGTGGAGGTTGCAGTGAGCCAAGATCATAGCATTGCATTCCAGCCTGGGTGATAGAAGGAGACTCTGTCTCAATATCATAATAATAATAAATAAATAAAATGGTGGTTAGCAGCCTTAAAAATTGTATGGAAGATCCTAAAGTGAGGCCCTTGGATTCTAAATACCATTCTCTGCTAAAAGGAACCACAGCTTTCTGCAGAAATGGCTGATTCCAGGTCCAGGGCAGGGAAGAACTAGATTAGACTGGAACATCTTGGCACGCAAAGAAGCAAAGTGAAGAAAGCAAAGAAGTGCTTGAAAACTAATGGGGAGTGGTCAGGCCACAGGTTGAAGGGACTCCCAGGGGCCAAATCTGGGACAATTGAAATATCAACAATGGCCGGCATGGTGGCTCACATCTATAACCCCAATACTTTGGGAGGCTGAGGTGGTAGGATTACTTGAGCCCAGGAGTTCAAGACCAGCCTGGGCAACATAGGGAGACCCCATCTCTACAAAAATATGAGCTGGGTGTGGGGTGCACGCCTGTGGTCCCAACTCAGTTGAGATGGGAGGATTGCTTGGGCCCAGGAGGTTGAGGCTGCAGTGAGCCATTATCACACCACTGCACTTCAGCCTGGGCAACAGAGCAAGACCCTGCCCCCCTGCCAATATATATATATATATATGATAATGATTTTAACATATTTAATTTTTTTAAAAAATCTGTAAGTAGATAGTGATAGTATTTTTTAAAAGGGGGAGTAGAGAGATAGAAAAAAGCCAACTAACAATAGAAGGACTGATGATAGAATTAGAAAATCACCATTTTGCATCTAAATATAATCTAGACAAGGGTCACCAATGCATTGTAAAATTGCTGAAAGTTTGTTAGGGAATAAGAAATTTGCAAGGTCTCAAGGTTTCACACATTTATTGACAAAGAATACACTTTTATAATGGAGAGAACGAGAAGAAACCATTTTAACCAAGTGATCAACGTTAGCATCACTGACATCGCCTGCCTCTTGAAGTGATGTAGTGATTCACATTGCCTATATAGTATTCTTTCCAAAAGTGTTGAACTTGAATCTAATCACAAAGAAATAAATTCTTATGTTATGACTGGCTCATACTCTTCAAAATATCAACATATGAAGGACCAAAAAAGGGAAGAAAGAGAACTGTTCTAGATAAAGGAGACTGAAGAAAATGATAATCCAGTTCAATTGTGGGTTGGATCTTGGATCAGAAAGGAAATTAAAAATAGCTTATAAAAACATTTTTTGAATTGTTAGAAAAATTTAAGTATGGACCATCTATAATATCATTGCACAATGTTAGATTTATTGGATGTGTTAGTGATTTTATTCTTATATAGGAGGCTACTTTTATTCTTAGGTCCAAGCTGGAATATCCTGGGATAAAGTGTCACGACATCTATAATTCAACTTGTTAGTCAGAAAAAAAAAAGAACAGCTGGGGCAAAACGTTAACAGTGCAGTCTAAGTGAAGGGTCTATGGATATTCATTGTGTTATCTTTTCAACTTGTCTGCCATTTTTTTTCTTTTGAGACAGAGTTTTACTCCACCCAAGATGGAGTGCAGTGGCACAATCCCAGCTCATTGCACTTCTGCCTCCCAGGCTCAAACAATCCTCCCACCTGAGCCTCCTGAGTAGCTGGTACTGCAGGTGAGTGCCACCACTTTTTTTTCTAGAGACAGGGTTTCCTCATGTTGCTCAGGATGGTCTTGAACTCCTGAGCTCAAGTGATCCACCTACCTTGGTCTCCCAAAGTGCTGGGATTGTAGGCCAGAGTCGCCCCACCTGGCCGTCATGTTTATTTTCATAAACATGTTGCAAAGTTTATGGGAGGTATTTACTGTGACACTGTTATATAGTTACATCAACAATAGATACATGGCTATGGATCCAAATGACTATGCAATTCCATATTCCATTGTCTGCAATATGAATATACATATCCATAGTCTGGATGGCTGCTGTTTTAATTCAGCTTCTGTTCCATCTTCTCCACCTGGGACCATCCTTATTTTCTTTTAGTGCTCAGCTCTCCCCACTTTTGGCTCATGAGGTCTGGATGGGGCATATGAACCACATCCACCTGTTCCCAGGGACTGGTGGGCACATGTCTTAAGTTAGTCCAACTGGGAAAAGGCAGCATTCTTTTTCCCTGAGGCTGCCAAGCTGACTGGATGTGAATTAAATGATGTGGTCATCTTTGAGAACTAGATGCCTATGAATTAAGCTGACACAACAAAGAGCTATGAGGAGAAAGCTTACAGTGTTTGAGCCACTGAAAGTGAACATATCTGAACTTAGGTGAAACTGGATTTCCCTGACAGTGTCAGTTGTGTATTTCCTGCTTAAAACCTGAGGAGTCCTGAGCACTCCAGGATGGAAATTCACAGAAAAGCTAGAGTAGTTTCCTCCCTCTGCATAACAGATTACCACAATTTCAGCAGTTTTGCTTAAAACAACACACACTTATTATCTCACTATTGCTGTGGGTGAGGCATCTGGGCATAGTTCAGCTAAGTCCCTTGTTCTTGGTTTCACAAGGCCACAGCCAAGATGTCAGCCAGGCCTGTGGTCTGGTCCTGAGTCGCCGCTGGGGAAGCACGTGCTTCCAAGTTCATTCAGGTTGCTGACAGAATTCCTTTCCTTGCACTTGTATTACTGAGGGCCTGGCTTTTTGCTGGCTGTCAGCTGGAGGCTGCCAACGCCCTAGACGCTGCCTGTAGTCTCTTGCCACATGGGCTCCCCTCAGGGTTGCTCACTTAATCAAGCCAATAGGAGGATCTTGCCAGCTAAGATGGAATTCTCTATAAAATAATATAACCATGAGCCTGACAGCCTTTCACTTTTCCATACAACGTAACCCAATCTTAGGAGTGACATTCCCTCACATTTGCCATATTCTATTGGTTAGAAGCAAGTCACAGGTCCCACCTGCACTCACAAGGAAGGAATTACATGAAGGCATGGCCAGGAGGCAGGAGATCACTGTGGGTCAGGTAAGGGCCTGTTTGCCACTGATGGAATGGGAAGAATCCATTTACCAACTGCCATGCCTGCCCTTACCCAGTGCTAAGCACTTACTTACTGAATACTTATGAATACTAAGTAACCCTAAAGTACTGTGTGTATTTATTCCAGTTCTTCCTAATTTAACAGAAGTTATCACTGGAAAATGGGAAGAGGGTGCAGTGCTGAAGAGCACTAGAACTTTCTGCTCTGCATATGGCATTGTTTGGGATCTTTACCGTGAGCACGCATTCACATGTTATGTAATTTTAAAATGCAGTTGAAAATGAAAATTGCGGCCGGGCGCGGTGGCTCACGCCTATAATTCCAGCACTTTGGGAGGCCGAGGCGGGTGGATCACGAGGTCAAGAGATCGAGACCATCCTGGTCAACATGGTGAAACCCTGACTCTACTAAAAATACAAAAAAATTAGCTGGGTGTGGTGGCGCATGCCTGTAATACCAGCTAATCAGGAGGCTGAGGCAGGAGAATTGCCTGAACCCAGGAGGCGGAGGTTGTGGTGAGCCAAGATCGCGCCATTGCACTCCAGCCTGGGTAACAAGAGCGAAACTCCGTCTCAAAAAAAAAAGAAAATGAAAATCGTATATAGAATATGGCCTCTACTAAAAGCTGCTCTCCTTCTACTTCCAGACTTTCCGACCTACATACACATTCAAAATTGGGGGAAAAAAAAGGCTGGAAGGAAACAGACCAAATGGGACAACGTTAGTCTGGTGTGTGGGGTCTATGGGTGAATATTTTCCTCTTTTTTGTATTTCCCACAATTAAGGAATGTAATTCAAATAATCAGAAGGAAAAAAACTCCAAGTGATTTGAAATGCTTTTTTAGGTCTAATTTTATGGCTAAGAATAAAGAAAACCCTCTTGTTTACCTTCTGCAGAAAGGCAGTTTCCTGCTTGGGTGGCTGATGAAGTGTCTGTTCCAAGATCTCAAAGAAATAAATCAGATGTCAGTGGGGAACCCACACCTGCTTCCTCTCATGCTGATAAAGAACAATTAACTCTCATCAGAATGTGTCTGGCTTCGTCCCAGAACTGAGCATTATCTGAAAGAATATGGCAGGTTTTCTTCTGGCCTAAAAACTACTGGAAGGTCCTAGTCAAGATGAAAAGTAGAAGATTCTGTGCCAGACAAAAGTGATACACTGGCATATTCAGCAACCAAATAGGCCAAACCCGAGGCTATGGAAAACAAACACACACATGCTTGATCTCATTTCTACTGCTAATTGGAGGACCTTGATGGGTCTTTGGATCTGTCTGTAAAATCACAGAACTGAATATGAGGAGCTTCTATCAGTGCTGACTAAAGACCACACTTGTAGTCAAATAAACAGAACAGAACTACCAAAAGTAGGTTTTCTTAGACTTGCTGCAGCAAGGGAGACTGTGTACTCAAGCACATCTCAGTAGCGGGAGATAATAGGGGCTTTTTTTTTTTAAGAGCTAGGGTCTCCCTCTGTTGCCTAGGTTGGAGTGCAGTGGTGTGACCACAGGTCACTGTAATCTTGAACTCCTGGGCTCTAGCAGTCCTCCCACCTCAGCCTCCCAAGTAGCTAAGGCTACAGGTATGCACCACCACACTTGGCTAATTTTTAAATTTTTTGTAGAGACATGGTCTCACCATATTGCGTAGGCTGGTCTTGAACTCCTGGACTCAAGTGATCCTCCCACCTCTGCCTCCCAAAGAGCTGGGATATAGGTGTGAGCTGCTGAGCCCAGCTGACAGGGGTTTCTTAAAGGGTTTTGGCTTGTGTTGGAACGCTGTGTGGGAGATTAAGTAATGGGGGCCAGTTCTGGGATGGATGTTAAGAAGCAGGAGTGGCCGGGCGCAGTGGCTCAAGCCTGTAATCCCAGCACTTTGGGAGGCCGAGGTGGGTGGATCACGAGGTCAAGAGATCGAGACCATCCTGGTCAACATGGTGAAACCCCGACTCTACTAAAAATACAAAAAAATTAGCTGGGTGTGGTGGCACGTGCCTGTAATCCCAGCTGCTCAGGAGGCTGAGGCAGGAGAATTGCCTGAGCCCAGGAGGAGGAGGTTGCAGTGAGCCGAGATTGCGCCATTGCACTCCAGCCTGGGTAATAAGAGCAAAACTCCGTCTCAAAAAAAAAAAAAAAAAAAAAAAGCAGGGACAATTTGGTGACTGAGTAGCTCATTCATTGTTATCTAGGAGGGTTAAAATGGGGGCTTGAGTTGATACTGGCAAAGCATCTGTTCAGAAAGGAATAATGCTTGTTAGAAGAAGGGAATGTTTAGTTAAATTTTTGTGCTCCAAGACTGGCCTTGTCAATGTCTTGTTCTGAGTATTGTTTATACTGTGCTGGAAACATGGTTGATTGTCTAGCAGGGCGGTTTTTTCACTATCTCAGCTTCATTCGACTTTATAAACAACCACCCAACAAACTCAAATTTGAATGCACTTTACAACTTAGAAAATGCTCTTTTTACCTATGGAGGAGTTCTTTGTGATGGTGGCAATTTCTCCATTCTTAACAACAAGGAAATTGAAGGTAAGAGATATTAAGTGGCTTCCCAGGACCCCAGCTACTTAAGCTTTCAAATCAGAAAATAGTAGCATTCAGCTCTAAGTTAGTTGTGGTTTTGAATATTGTTCATTCCACAAACCTGCACTGAGTACTTACTAAGTTCCTTGCACTATTCTGGGCTCTGAAGAGACAACTGTGGTAGTGTAGAAAGGTCAAGCTTGGAGTCCAGCTGGTGGGGTGGAAAGTAAAGACGCCACCCTGTGAAGCACAAGGACCCTCATCACTGAGGGTGCTCTGGGAGCTCCTCGCCAGGGAGGGATGCCACGCCCATATTCTATGGCTGCTGTATGTAACAAATTACCACAAGTTTAGAGGCTTAAAACAACACAAATTTATTCTCTTGCATTTCTAGAGATCCGAAGTCTGGAGTGGGTCTCACTGGGCTAAAAATGCAATCAGCAGGACTGCATTTCTTTATGAAGGCTTTAGGGGAGAATCTGTTTCCTCACCTTTTTCAGCTTCTAGAGGCCTCCTGGAGACTCTGGCTCAGAGCCCCTTCCTTCCTCTACCTTCAAAGCCAAGAACGGCATTGCTGCAACCTCTGCTTCCATTGTCTCATCTTCTCTGATTCTTCTGCTTCCTTTTCCATCTTTTAAGGATCCCTGTGGGGTAATTCAGGATAATCTCCGTATTTTGTGACACTTAACCGTATCTGCAACACCCACTTTGCCCTATACGATGACATATTTACAGGTTTCAGTGATGAGGGCACAGCCGTCTTTGTGGGGAGCATTATTCTGCCTACTAACACCTAGGCTAGTATTTTTTTCTTTTTGCAGGGAAAGAAGGAGTTCTGATTTCACAAAGTTGCATCTATGCTGACATCAGGAGGGGACAAGAGCCAAGAAGGGTAGGTCTGGAGGCAGGGAGAAAGCTTGGCTAATGCACTGGTGGACACACTAGTCAGCTATTGCTAGCTGTTCCTCCTAAATTTCAGGAACCCACAAAAGCAAAGATTTACTTTTCATTCAAGCCACATGTCCACGGTGGACATGCTTCATGTTTTGCTCTGCTCCATGACGCTTCGTTGCAGGGCCTAGGCTGAAGGACAACCCTTATCTGGGACATGCTAAACTCATGGAGGAGGAATGAGTTAGGTGTTAAAGCCAAATATGACTCTTAAAGCTTCTGCTGAGGAAGGGAACATGTCTCTTCCACTAATATTTCACTACTAGTATCTGGCTGGTGAGTCAAAGCAAGTCAGGTCATGTGGCCAAGGCTGTCATCAGTGGGACAGGAAGTCAAATCCTCCCACAGGAAGAGGCAGTGAATAATCAGAACAGTAACAGACTAGCACGGTGGTCAAGAGCTGTGGGTGGAATGAGATGTGGGAAGTGGCCTGAAACTTATGGGGCAGTGAAGGCCAGGTTATGCATGACTTTAAAACTGGTCTCTTCTTCGCAATAGCCAAAATAGAATCAACCTAAATGCCTATTATTTATGGATGAAACGATAAAGAAAATGTGGCATATACATACAACGGAATATTAGCCATAAAAAGAATGAAATCCTGTCATTTGTAGCAACATGGATGGAACTGGAGGTCATTATGTTAAGTGAGATAAACCAATTACAGAAAGATAAATATTGCATGTACTGACTCACGTGGGAGGTAAAAACCTTGGATCTTGTGGCCAGGCGTGGTGGCTCATGCCTGTAATCCCAGCACTTTGGGAGGCCGAGGCGGGCGGATCATGAGGTGAAGAGATCAAGGCCACCCGGGCCAACATAGTGAAACCCCGTCTCTACTAAAATACAAAAATTAGCTGGGCACGATGGCGTGTGCCTGTAGTCCCAGCTATTTGGGAGGCTGAGGCAGGAGAATTGCTTGAAGCCTGGAGGCGGAGGTTGCAGTGAGCCCAGATCACACCACTGCACTCCAGCCTGGCGCCTGGCAAAAGAGCAAAGAGCAAGACTCTCTCAAAAAACAAAAACAAAAAACCTTGGATCTCATGAAGATAGAGAGTGGACGGGTAGTTACCAGACACGAGGAAAGGTGGTGGGGAGGAAGGAATAAAGAGAGGCGAATTAATGGGTACAAATACACAGTTGATGCAATAAGACCCACTGTTTGATAAATCCATAGGGTGACTATAGTTCACAATCATCTATTTTACATTGTAAAATGGCCAGAAGAAAATATTTAGAATATTTCTAGCATAAAGACAAATAATTAAGGTGATGGATATCCCAATGACACTAATTTAATCCTTACAAATTATATAAATGTATTATCACATGTACCCCAAAAATGTCTGTTCTGTGTCCATTTAAAAATGTAACAAAAAACCAGTTTCATTTGTTAGAATGTCAGCTCCATGAGGGCAGGAAATAGGTCTCTGCCTTATCATTCGAGCTCAGTGTTTCTCAACATTTTTTCCTTATTACTACCCCCATACAATCTTCTTTTATTTTTTTGAGACAGGGTGGTTTTGCTCTGCTGTCCAGGCTGGAGTGCAGTGGCATGATCATAGCTCACTACAGCCTCAACTTCCCAGGCTCAAGTAATCCTCCCACCTCAGCCTACTGAGTAGCTGGGACTACAGATGCATGCCACCCCCGCTGGCTTACTTTCATATTTTCTGTAAAGATGAGGTTTCACCAAGCTGCACAGGCTGGTTGTGAACTCCTGAGCTCAATCGATCTGCTGGTCCTGGCCTCCTAAAGTGGTGGGATTATAGGCATGAGCCACTGTGCCCCGCCCATGCATACAAACCTAATACCACAGATACACTGTTACATACTACATGCATATCTGGGGTCTTTATATATAAAAACAGTAAGGTATCTTTGCCCTTCTAGGAAATTTAACCCCTTTGGGGTGACACTACCTATGTTGAGAATACGTGTTCTAGTCCTGATTACATAAGCTGTAATTAATTCTTTGATTTGTGACTTGTACCATATTTATGAGTTAAAGCAAATTGCTAGTAGTTAAGTTTATTTGGAGGTAGTGCCTTTGGAAATGGTTAGCTCCTGAGGATGGATTATGAACGGTCTAAGTGCCCATAAAAGAGGCCCCAGGGAGATCCCTCGCCCCTTTTGCCATGTACAGTTGTAGTAAGAAGAGTGTCTGTGAGGAAGGGGACCCTCAGTAGACACCAAATCTGCTGATGCCTTCATCTTGGACTTCCCAGTCTCCAGAACTGTGAGAAGTAAACCTGTGTTGTTTATAAGCCACTCAGTCTATGTGATTTTGTTATAGCAGCCAAAACATACTAACACAACTATGAACATCTATGGCCAGCAATATCTTCAGGTCATATTTTGCTGTTAATTCTTACGGCTTTTCCCATTTGGGGGGAAGCCCTGCCAAGCTGCCCAATCTAAATCCACACAATTGTCAACGTACCTGGCCAGTTACAATTTCTCTTATTTGCTATGGTTTTAGAAACCAGATGGGCTGTATAACAGATGCTGAGTGAAGGTCTAGGAAGCTGTAAAGGCTCATGCCTGAGCTTAATGCTTTGCCTGATTCAGTCAGTGAGGTTCAATGAACATCAAGAGCAGGCCAATTATGTGCCAGACACTGTTCTAGGCACTGGGGATACAACAGTGGCTAAAAAAGTAATGCCATTCCCCTCAAGGGATCAAAAGACATTTCAGCTGATGAGTTCTGGCAGCATGAAAGTGGTGGTGCCAGGCAGTGAGTCACGCTAAGGTTGGTGAAAGGATGGAAGATGTTTGCCTTCAGACATGAAGGGCTCTACTCTCGATTTCATTTTTTGGTTTGTCCATGACTTGAACAAAGATGAGTTGACTGCGAAGGTGGAGACTGAAGGTTTTGGGGAATCTATAACTTCACTGATTTGGTTTCTTAGTATGTAGCAAAGTACCTCCTCAGGTATACCCTGTTCTCACCTCCACAAAATGAATTATTACTCTTCAGCATTTGCATGTGGAGCAACTGCAGTCTGTAGATGCCAAAACTTTTTTTTTTTTTTTTTAGACGGGTCTCGCCCTGTTGCCCAAGCTGGAGTGCAATGGCATGATCTCGGCTCACTGCAACCTCTGCCTCCCAGGTTCAAATGATTCTCCTGCCTCAACCTCCTGAGTAGCTGGGATTACAGGTGTCCATCACCATGCCCAGCTGTTTTTTGTATTTTTAGTAGAGACAGGTTTTCACTATAGTGGCCAAGCTGGCCTTGAACGCCTGACCTCGTGATCTGCCCACCTCAGCCTCCCAAAGTGCTGGCTCACAGGCGTGAGCCACCATGTCTGAACCCAAACATAGCTTTTTAAAGGTTTTCTCTGTTTAAAGAAGGTAGTGGTTCAGGGGCAAAGGGGGTTACCAAACAGAAAGAAAAAGCGATTTTTAATACAAAGTCCTAACACTGGCCTACTAATCCCTACAGGATTGGCTCCACCCTCCTCCTGCCTCCACTTGTCCCCTTGCAGTCACTCTGGCCTTCCTGCCAGTCTAGTTCTGGAACACACTAAGCACTCGCCCACTCAGAGGCTTTGTGCCTCGCAGAACCTACTCCCTAGAAAGCCCACCCTGTATTTCGCATGGCCCAGCACCTCACTCAGGCCCTGCCACTTCCACAGAGAGAACCTCACTGGCTACTCCCCAACTTACTCTATACCTTCACCCCATTTTATTTTTCTTCACTCACTTAACACTGAGTGATGTGTTATGTGTATGTCTAGAGTCCGTCTTTCCCACTTCGGTGAAAGCTCTGCAGGGGCGTGGACTTTGTTGTTGACGACTCTATCCCCAGTTCCTAGAAGTGGCCAGTACAAAGGGTCCTCATAATGCAAATTACTTTGCAGCCTTAGAGTGGTTTAAAACAAAATTACCTCACTATCCACTTTTTTCCTTGAGACGTCTTCTATAAATAAGCCTTCTATATGCAGCACGTTTGACGCTCAAGCGTGCTTATGAAAGAGTTTTACTTATTTTGAGGTGTTTTTATTGTGTCTGGAAAGCAGATCACTGATTAGAAGTATGTAAGTTTAGGGCTGGGTGCGGTGGCTCACGCCTGTAATCCCAGCAGTTTGGGAGGTGGGCGGGTCACCTGAAGTCAGGAGTTTGAGACTAGCCTGGCCAACACGGTGAAAACCTGTCTCTCCTAAAAAAAATACAAAAATTAGCTGGGCATGGTGGTGGACACCTATAATCCCAGCTACTTGGGAGGCTGAGGCAAGGAGAATTGCTTGAACCTGGGAGGCAGAGATTGTAGTGAGCTGAGATCCCGCCACTGCACTCCAGCCTGCATGACAGAACAAGACTCCTTCCTCCCTCCCCCGACCCCCGCAAAAAAACTATGGAAGTTCAGAATCATTTCATTCACATTCTTCTCATTCAGGGAAGAAAAGGAATAAAGTATCAGTCTCCATGTGTGCAGAACAGCCACTAAGAGACCTTTCTCGGGTATTTCTTTTTTCTAGCCATTTAGAGCCTAAAGTCCCTCAGGCCTTTAGGCTTTACCAGTTCTTTCCTTCTTCTTCCTACCAGACCAAGATGCCCACACTGGCCTTTTCCAACACTCAGCTGGCCTCTTGCACCAGGCAGCAGGAGTCCAGCAAAACACACTGAAGTGGCTCCCACCTCCCTGCTCCACAGTGTGAGAGGGCTCTTAGTCTTCAGATAAAGCTGAGCCGCCCCGCCCATTCTACTCCCTCATTTACAGAGCTAACAGGGAAAGCCTATTTCCAACATATCTTAATACAATCCATGCCATTTCTTTGAAGTTTGTGTTCCATAGCAATAAATATGGCATTTTCTTTTTATTTTTTAAAAAATATAGACAAGGTCTTACTCTGTTACCCAAGCTGGTTTAAAATTCCTCACCTCAAGCAATCCTCCCGTCTCAGCCTTCCAAAGTGCTAGGATTATAGGTGTGAGCCAGCACGCCTGACCAAAAATGGTATTTTTCAGTAAGCACAAAGTCTAGAGAAAGGGAAATTTTGGCTAGGCGCAGTGGCTCATGCCTGTAATCCCAGCACTTTGGGAGGCCGAGGCGGGTGGATCACGAGGTCAACAGATGGAGACCATCCTGGTCAACATGGTGAAACACGTCTCTACTAAAAAAAAATACAAAAAATTAGCTGAGCATGGTGGCGCGTGCCTGTATCCCAGCTACTCAGGAGGCTGAGGCAGAATTGCCTGAACCCAGGAGGCGGAGGTTGCGGTGAGCTGATATCGCGCCATTGCACTCCAGCCTGGGTAACAAGAGCGAAACTCTGTCTCAATAAGAAAAAAATAAAAATTAAAAAAAAAGAGAGAAAGGGAAATTTTAAAATAATCTTATTTTCCAATTGACACCTATAAATAAAAAGCAGTGCAAGAGCTCTGATAATATATGTGTAAATATATGTATGCATATTTACAATGTCTTTAAATACATTGATTTGAGAAGGAAAAAACTCTGCTCTCATGCAACCACTTTAATTAGGTCAAGAAAATTTTGTGTCATCTGAGTATAAGTGAATGGTAGCAGTTTAAAAAAACAGCCTAGTTTGTTAGCAGTCAAGATTTCCTGAAACTGAAACCCAATTAAATATTTAAGTAACTGCAGAAAAACAATCCCGGAAGCCCGTTGTCAAACTATTTTCAAAGCCAAGAATGTGTAAAGACTGAACAAGGGACCTAGAGACATCTAAACAAAAGCCAGGAGGACATCCACAGAGACGGGAAGTCTGGCAATACATGAGGATGGAGCATGGGCTGGTTTCTGTTTTAAGTTTGTAACCTGGTTTTAATCATTTTCCAGAAGTATTTCCAAATTAGAAGAGGGAGGAACAACTTTGAGATTTATTAACAAGGCCAGGCGTGGTGACTCTATTCTGTAATCCTAACACTTTTGCAGGCCAAGGTGGGCAGATCACCTGAGGCTAGGAGTTTGAGACCAGCCTGGCCAACATAGTGAAACGCCAGCTCTACTAGAAATATAAAAATTAGCTGGGTGTGGTGGCACGTGCCTGTAATCCCAGCAACTTGGGAAGCTGAGGCATGAGAATCGCTTGAACCAGGAGGTGGAAGGTACAGTGAGCTGAGATGGCGCCACTGCACTCCAGCCTGGATGACAGTGTGAGATTCTGTCTCAAAAATAAAATAAAATAAGATGTATTCACAAGATTATTACTTTATTCTGTTTGAGAGCAGCCATGACTTAACAGCTGAGACAGCAATGGGCTACCACAGCTAAGTAAGACTGTGCCATAAGTCCTAGACAGACTTAGTCCTGCGCCTCTACCTCCAACTCCATCTGCTTTCATATGATGGGGAGCTTTCTGCCTTTTTCATCCATGCCAAGTTGAAAACAAAAGCCCACACACACCCAAGATGACCTTTAAAACTTCATTTTCTGATGAAAAATAAGAAACATACACATCTAATAATGTGCCAGAACTTCTGAAGGATTTATAGGGCTTCATGATGGAGACACATTTAAAGAATAGAAACTTCAGTCTGGCTTTCAGTGAGGCACCACGCAGACTGCTTCCAAGATGCTCCCTCTGAAAGGAAGGACTACACCCTTGCACAGCCCACGCTCCCCATATATTAATTATATATGACGAGAGTAGCTGGGTGACAGACCCTAAGAATTCAGACATGTAGGACCAGGCGCAGTGGCTTATGCTTGTAATCACCACACTTTAGGAGGCCGAGGTGGGAGGACTTCTTGAGGCCAGGAGTTTGAGACCAATCTGGGCAACATACTAAGACTCTGTCTCAAAAAAAAAAGAAGAAAGAGAGAGAGAGAAGGAAAGAAAGAAAAGAAGAAGAAAGAAAGAGAGAGAGAAAGAAAAAAAGAGAAAAGAAAAAAGAAAGAAAAGGAAGGGAGGGAGGGAGGGAGGGAGGGAGGGAGGAAGGGAGGGAGGAAGGGAGGAAGGAAGGAAGGAAGGAAGGAAGGAAGGAAGGAAGGAAGGAAGGAAGGAAGGAAGGAAGGAAGGAAAGATAGATAGATGGATTAGTCAGGCATGGTGGTGCATGCCTGTAGTCACAGCTCCTCGTGAGGCTGAGGTGGAAGGGCTGCCTAAGCCCAGGAGTTTTCGGATGCAGTGAGCTATGATGGTGCCCCTGCACTCTGGCCTGGGTGCCAAAGTAAGACCCCATCTCCAAAAATTAAAAAAAAAGAGAAAGTTTAAATCAAGTTGGAGGATATATAGATATAAAATTTAACTCAACATGGATCATAGACTTAAATGGAAAACCTAAAAGTATAAAATTTCTAGATGAAATGATAAGAGAAAATCTTTGTAACCTTGGGTTAGGCAAAGGGTTCTTTGATAGAAACACAAAATATCAACAAGATAATTTAAAAACTGACAAACTGGACACCTCAAAATTTAAAGCTGCTCTTTGCTGGGTGTGGTAGCTCATGCCTGTAATCCCAGCTACTTGGAAGGCTAAAGCAGGAGGATCACTTGAGTCCAAGAGTTCAAGGCTGCAGCTAGCTATGACTGCGCCACTGACCTCCAGCCTGGGTGACAGAGTAAGACCCCGTCTTTTTAAAAAAGAAAAAAAGGGATTCAGAGATGTAGATGAAAATGAAAGTCAAAACAGACAATACATTGGACCAAATGTAAAACAGACAACACATTTTCAAAGAAAATGTCTCATTTTGAAGAGTATCTCTGCATGAGAGTACCTCATAAAAGCATAGGTTGCTAAGGCAGATTTGATTTCTAAATGCTACAAGCAGGAGTTACAGGTATCATGAGCTAATCCAATGTATAAGCTGGAAAAAGGAAAACAGGAGGAGGAAGGCAATGAGTGAGTGAATAAGAATCCAAGGAAGACAGCACAGGGGGACGGAAAGGGGAAGACTGGAGCATCCATTGGGAAGAAGTGGCAAACACTAAGAACTACTCACAAGTGACTTCAGCTGCTTTCTGTCTGGCTCTACTCACTAATCTGGAAAAGTCTTGTTTAACAGGCATGAAAAACCATTATTTTAGAAAAGAAAAATGCAGATTTTTCTTTTATTTATGTACTTATAAAAAGATTTACACCAATCAGGCCTATAACATGTAAAAGGTAAATCTTCTTTGCAAAGTTAAATATATGAAAATCCAAAAGCAGACTGAATTATCAAAAAAGAAAACATTTTATTTTTGTCACTAAATACAATTAATTTCCCTGATTATAACCCATAATCAATGTCACCTAATATACAGATGGTCTGTACAGAGGTGAACAACCCAGCATCTTTCTCTACATATATATTAGGACCACTGAACTCAGAAAAAGCAGAGCTGAGCTTGTTAAATTATTGTTTTAGAAACTCTTACCAGTTAAAGGAAATAGGAAGATTTAGGTAGCAGAACAGTTGTATAATAACTTAAAAAGTTAAAAGCTGTAGTGATAAAATAATCTTGTGCACTGTTCTCAGAAATGTTAGGCAATTGGCCTTCCTGCAGATCCCAAGTCTAGAAAAAGACAACCAATCACTGCAACAACGGGGCTTGGTTCATTTGCTGTATGGTTGGTCGTGGTGCATTTCTGGTGTATAAGTCAATAGAACAATCATGACCCAGAGGTGAAGCAAAGCCTAGAGAAAGAAAAAGTAATTTGTGGATTAGTCAATAAACCAATCTTTGCCAAAGGCCCACTGAACACTAAGGGCAGGCACTGTGTCTTATCTGCCTCTGTATCCCTTATGGGGCACATGAAGGAAGGAATGAAAGAAACAACTAGACGAGCTCAGTGCAATGGAGGGTAATACAGAGTCACTCCTACAGAATTCAGTTGAGAGGAGTAAGCCCTCAACTCCAACACATTCACAATATGCACATGTAAGCAAAATAACCAATCAGGTGATTATAATGCAAAGTGATTAAAACTGTTACATATACATGAAGTTGGTTAGAAAACATTTTTAGAACAGAGTTATGGTTAATATTTTGAAAGGGAGTTTAACCAACGTTTGGTGAAGAAGAGATGGGAAAACATTCTAGACAGGAATAATGTGTCAGGTTTCAGAGGCTGACGTAGGGCCCAGAACACGATCCCCAGTGACAAATTTAATTCCCTCATGGTAGTACTGAAATGATATGAGATTCTATCACTAAGTGCCTCACCACTTTGTAGTGTGCCAGAAATCACATCTCCCATGGGCACTATCTCATGACAGACAATGTCCATGTTACTTGTAATCAAGAACACCTGGGAAATCAACCCCTCCAGGGCATATTCTGAATGCTTTCTGATGCCATTCAATTTTTTTTTGTTGCTGTTCTCCCTACTCTTTCCTTCTTAAAAACTTGTTATTAAGCCAGGCATGGTGGCTCAGGCCTGTAATCCCAGCACTTTGGGAGGCTGAGGTGGGCAGATCACTTGAGGTCAGGAGTTCTGGTCCAGCTTGGCCAACATAGTGAAAACACTACTAAAAATACAGATCTCTACTAAAAATACAAAAATTCGTTGGGCACAGTGGTGCGTGCCTGTAACCCCAGCTACTTGGGAGGCTGAGGCAGGAGAATTGCTTGAACCTGGGAGACAGAGATTACAGTGAGCCAAGATTGTGCCACTGCACTCCAGCCTGGGTGACAAAGTGAGACTCAGTCTCAGGAAAAAAAAAAAAAAAAAAAGCACAAAACCTTGTTATTTGAAGGAATAACTCTTCCCTCTAGTGGATCACAGAGAAATTTATTTTTAAAGAAAATAGCCCATTTTAATTCAATCCAACTACTTTTAGACATACCTACTCCAAATAGTAGCCTTCTTAGGCACACAGTACATGCGAAATGGCATCCCAAACTACTGTAACCATTTTACCAGAGCTGAGAAATCCAGGAGAAAGTAAATCAACCTGGAGACTCTTTTAGAAAATAAAACAAAACACATAAAAATAATTAAAGCAACTTTACAAAATCAAGATAAAAAATGGTTTTGTATTGAAATTGTTGTTATCATTAGAAGGGCTTTAAAATGGAGGTAATTATTAGACTGCATTTAAGTTAATTTTATTTGTAGCAAAAGCGTTTGAGGAATTTATATTCTAGACATAATGAATTATCAATTTATAATCTACCAACTTAAATTACTAAAAATGAGTTTTCTCTTTCAGAATTGACTGCTGGCTGGGTGCAGTGGTGCACACCTGTAATCCCAGTATCTTGGGAGGCTAAGGTAGGAGGATCACTTGAGCCCAGGAGTTTGAGACCAGCCTGGGCAACATGGTGAAAGCCCATCTCTACAAAAAGTACAAATAGCTGGGCATGGTGGCATGTGCCTGTAGTCCCAGCTACTTGGGAGGCAAAGGTGGAAAGATGGCTTGAGCCTGGAAGGTAGAGGTTGCAGTGAGCCAAGATCATACCACTGCACTCCAGCCTGGGCAAAAGAGCCAGACTCTGTTTCAGAAAAAAAAAATTTATTGCTAAAATGTCGATAAGATCAGCAGCCAAAAAAACCTAGTTAAAAACAAGTGCAGCACTGTTTTTTCAAACAAGTTTACTTACCATATATATAATTACAAAAACTCGTGCTATGGGGTATCTTCGGAGGAAAATTCCCAGACGAATACTGTGGAGACATAGGTGTAGAGAAGAGAGGAGAAGAGAGTCACATTCAAAACACATCTTCCTGTGGTAATATCTAACAATGCTGATAAATTTCACTCACTTAAACTATTTATGTACCACAGAAGAACAATTTTTATAGTAGACCGCTAAATGATTACTTGAAATAATAATATAAAAGTGCATAGAGGTAAACGAATACTTTTATCATTATTTGGGGCTTGGCTGTTAAGCTTAAGCAGAGGTATTTCTCTTCATTCTATCACCACAATGTAGGAAGCAAACTTGATCCCTCTGTAAATCTTTTTTATTTTTTTAATTTTAATTTTTTATTCGAGATGGAAGTTTTGCTCTTGTTGCCCAGGATGGAGTGCAATGGTGCAATCTCCACTGACTGTAACCTCCGCCTCCTGGGTTCAAGAGATTCTCCAGCCTCAGCCTCCCAAGTAGCTGGGATTACAGGCATGCCACCACCATGCCCGGCTAATTGTTTTGTATTTTTAGTAGAGACAGGATTTCACCATGTTAGCCAAGCTGCTCTCAAACTCCTGACCTCGGGCAATCTGCTCGCCTCAGCCTCCCAAAGTGCTGGGATTACAGGCATGAGCCAGTGGCCTAAATATTTTTTTTAACAAAATTAAAGAAATTACAAAAGATAAGGTGGTTGGTCAACTATGTGAATGGGGGAAAAAAAGATTCTGGTTGGTATTAACCTGTAAATAGCAAATCTGGAAGCTTTTGTATAGGTATGTGCTTCTAAAAGGTACAAAGCTATAAAAACTCATGCATCTGAATAAATAGTGTGGAAGCAGTATGATGTCCAGACCTACTATGCCTCTGCAACGTTTTTTTCCTATCAAGATAGATACCTGTAGAAGCAAATACGCCTTTCTGCTTCTTTCACTGCCACTAGCACAATGTCTTACACATAGGTTCTCTAACAACTATGTATGTTGAATAAATGAATAGTTGAACTAGATGTGCTTAATTTGGAGATAATGCCTATGGCATCCTAGTTCTGTGGCTTCAGTAACCTTGGTATATCATTCTTCTTACTTTTAATACAATGGCTCAATTCTGACACAAAAGGTACAAAGATTATTATGTCACAGTTCATTAAAACTTTTCATTATAAACGCTACAAAGAAAAAGGGTATAGGTTATCCAGACAAGAACTTTACCAAGACTATACGTAACTATTAAAATATTTTCTTGATAAGGCAGATGTCTGCTAATGTAAAAAATTTACATATAAACATATTTTTGTTATTTATGTAATATGCATATAAAGTATACAATAAAATGAGTACTGCTCAGTTCTATATAGTAACATCTTTTATTCTAATCACATGATAAAGCTCTGGGATAAACATTCAAATGGATATTTTATCTGAAGTAGAAGCTTTCTTAACAAAATTTAATGACGTTTCTAAAAACAGAATGTATTATAGAAAGAAGAGATACAGTCAGGGTTAATCATCTTCAACAAAATGTAGGCATTGGTAAACCTCTTGAAGTAATTTCATGACATTCAAATACCATGAAAAGAGTAAGTCACTTTATGAAAGTGTAAGATAACTGTAAAATAAAGAAAAGTGTATGTAAGTGTAAGGTATCATGGAAGAAGTCAGTCACTTTCAATACAGACTCTGTCTGATGGGACTCACTATGATTGAAACCCTGGCAAATGTGAAAACAGCTGATGGCCCAGCGCTCATCCCTCCTGGCACTGCTTACCTAAACTGATCAATTGAACTAGCAGCTTTGCGAACTTTTCCGTACATTCCTGCCAGATTAGTTTCTGTGTCATTAAAAAGAACAGGAACATTTCGCAGACGAGTGCCTATTTAAATAAGAAAATAAATTAATGTAGTGACACAAAAATTAACTTTCTAAGACAGTTATAATTGGAAATACATTGTATTACATGTGAAAGAAATTTTCAAGGCAAACTTCCTCAGCATCACCCCAAAGTAGATAAAACCATTAAAAAAAGGACAGGTAAATTTGATTACATAAATGTTCAAATGTCCATATCTACAAACAGAAAAAATTTTAACCTAAGAAAATGATTTTAGCAATAATTAAGAAGTTTACAAATACTGAGCATTGACAGGAGTCGATATTAATGGGCCCTCTATTCCTGTGTGAGAAGGAGTGAGGCGGGTGGCCTTTCTATGAAGCTGAGGACTCCCAAATTTGTACTCCAGCCCAGAGCCTTCATCCCCTGCCAGACTCATCCAACTGCCTATTGGCTTCCATCTGGATGTCTAATGGGCACCCCAAAGCCAGTCTAACACTACGATTCTGAGTTCTTGCCCTCACTGTCAACCTGTGTCAGCTGCCATTTCCTTGTCTCCAGGACATCACAATTCCAATCTTTCCATCTGCTCAGGCCAAAACCCTTGACTCCTTTCTCTCAAACTCCATATTCAATCTGCCAGCATATCCTGTCAGCTTACCTTTAAAATATATTCTCAGTCCACCCTCGAAATCCCACTTGGTTCTAGACCACCAGCTCTCACATGTTTAACGCAATGGTTACTCACCCACCTCTGCCCCGCTCTCACCCAGTCTCCCTGCTTCCACTTTTAGCCCTTTGCAATCTATTCTTGATACAGCAGTTACAGGTAGCCTATTAAAATGCAAGTCAGATCAGTCCCCTGTCTCAAGATCCTTCAATGGCTTCCTACCTCATTCAGAGTAAAAGTTCCCATACAGGCCTCAAGAGCCTACTCCAAGCTCTCTGGATTCATCTTACACAAGTATCTTCTTCACTCAGTCTACTCCACAGGCTCTGGCCTTCTTGTTGTTCCTGAAACATGCCAGGAACATGCCTGCCTCAGGGCCTTTGTACCTGCTCTTCCTTCTGCCTGGAACACTTTTCTTCTATGCCTCCTCATTGTTCACTATCTAACCTTCTCTGGGACTTTTCAAAATAGGTTATACTTTTCAATGAGGTCTTCCTTGACCACCCTATTTAAATCACATTGCCATCCCCATACCTGGCACCCAGTATGTCTTAAACATTTTTTTATTAAAAGAAATAATTTAAAGCCAAAGAACTGAGAAATTTGCTGAGTGACAATTTGTAGACTTTATGAAGTTCTAAGATTAAAAATCTGACCTGTTGATACTTATACTATCTTACAATTTTTTTTATTATATATGTTGGGAATCTATAGATCTCTTTATTAAAATTATAGTGCACAGATACAGTTATGTGAACTATGTATTAGCTCTAATACTCCTATTTGCTGGAAGATTATTAAAGCAAGTCTTGCTTTAAGTGTCCTGAAAGCTCCTCTGTACTGAACTTCTCACCTTGCCAGCATTATCTTAAGTATCTTACACATTTCAATATGATTATTGGTCCTCAGACTATTTTCCCCAAGTCTAATACCAGTGAGGAATACCATTATCTGGTTCACTAATGACAATACTAAATAGTACATGGCCCAGGTCTCATATCAAAAAATTGAGTCCTTCATTGGATGAAGTTTCTTTCAAATAAAAATGATCTTTCTGTAATTTTTCAAAACTATGTTTGAATGGAATGTTCTTTTGAGATTCCTTTTTTTGGTTAGTTTACCTTCACCATTGTCAATTCCAGACATATTAATCGAAGACCCATTACTACTACTTCCAGAGGCAGAGTTCATCTGCTGCTCAAGGCGCTCCAGTTGGAAGACTAGTGAGTTCTTTTCTGTGCTGAGGCTCTCTAGCATGGTCTGCTTCTGGATGAGAGTCTCTGTTAGCTGATGAAGTCGACTTTCTAACTCAGACTGACTGCTATTGCTTAAAGTTTTATTGGTAAGCTGAAAGAGAAAATGTTCACAAAATTATTAAATAAAATGAAAGTCATATAATACAGAAATCATACTACTATATTTTCATAGGTAAACTGTGGCATTAATTGATTTCTCAAAATATACTGACTCAGTGTCTACAGAAGTGATTTTTAAAAACAGTGGGGTCACGAAATCAATTTGGTAGCTCAAAATCAGTATTGAAAAAGATAGAATAGAATGGGACATATTCTGATATTTATATAACACATAGTGTGTGAGGGTACAATTTTGTGAAACTCCTGTTTTGGTTTTGTACATGTAAGTGCATGTGAGTATTGAGACATGGTATAAACTGTATTTCTCACTGAGGCATCATGGTGAAAATATTTCAAAGCATGGGTTTAGAGGACACAGTCTACACTTTTCAACAGGGATTCAAAAGCCTCCATAATTCAACAGTTACACTGCAGTGCAAAGATCACACCCTGAGGTTTTCATCTCTGCTCTGTAATTTTCAAGCTATTTGACTTTGGATAAATGGCTACACTTCTCTGAATCTGTTTCCTCATCTTTAAGTGAAGGTAACAGCACCTGTTGCACATGGTATTTAGGGATATTAAAATTGCTTGAACCCAGGAGGCAGATGTTGCAGTGAGCTGAGATTAGGCCACTATACTTCAGCCTGGGCAACAGAATGAGACTCTGTCTCAAAAAATAAAAATAATTAATTAATTTGAGATTTGAAAGTCAAAATTAGGCCTTGGGCTGTCAAATGGATATTGTATTAGCAGGTATGAAAACAATATTAATCTCCTTGTATAGCTCTGTTAGAGCTCTTAGGTGACCAGGAGTATTGTCAATTAGTAGTAACATTTTAAAAGGAATTTTTTATTCTGAGCAGCAGGTCTCAAGAGTGAGCTGAAAATACTCAGTAAACCATGCTATGAACAGATGTGCTGTCATCCAGGCTTTGCTGTTCCCTTTACAGAGCACAGGCAGCACAGATTTAGCATCATCCTTAAGGGTCTTAGGATTTTCAGAACTGTAAACAAGCACTGGCTTTAACTTAAAGTCACCAGTAGCATTAGCCCCTAACAAGAGAGTCAGTTTGTCCTTTGAAGCTTTGAATCCAGGCACTGACTTCTCCTCACCAGGTATCAAAGTCCTAGATAACATTTTCTTCTAATAGAAGGCTGTTTCATCTACATTAAAAACCTGTTGATTAGTGCAGCCATTCTCTTTCTTTCTTTTTTTTTTTGATATCAAGTCTCATGCTGTCGCCAGGCTGGAATGCAGTGGCATGATGTCAGCTCACTGCAACCTCTGCTTCCCTGGTTCAAGCAATTCTCCTGCCTCAGCCTCCCAAGTAGCTGGGATTACAGGCACATGCCACCACATCCAGCTAATTTTTGTATTTTTAGTAGAGACAGAATTTTACGACGTTGGCTAGGATGGTCTCAATCTCTGGACCTCGTGATCTGTCTGCCTTGTCCTCCCAAAGTGCTGGGATTACAGGCGTCAGCCACCACACCTGGCTGGTGGAGCCATTTTCATCAGTGATCTTAGCTAGATCTTCCAGATAACTTGAGCAGTTTCTTCACTGCTGCTTCACTTTGCATTTTTACATTTGGGAGATGGCTTCTTTCCTTGTACCTCATAAACCCAACCTCTGCTAGCTTCAACATTCTCTTTTGCAGCTGTCTCAGCTCTCTCTTAACTCTAATTGTGTGATTTTTTTTTTTTGGCAATTTATTAAGATGCTGATCCCTTTTTAAATTATACAAGTCAACTTAATTCTACGGGACAAAGGTTTTGCTCTCTTCTAATTTGATGAAAAAACTTGAAGAGAATTCCTCCTGGGGTTAATTCTTTCTTTTTAAGAAACAGTGTCTCTCTCTGTTGCCCAGCTACAGTACAGTCGGGTGATCATAGCTCATTGCAGCCTTAACTCCTGGGCTCAAGTGATTCTCATGTCTTATCCTCCAAAGTGGCTGAGACTTACAGGTAAGTGCCACTATGCGCAGCTAATTAAAAAAAAATGTTTAGAGATGAGGGTCTCACTATGTTGCCCAGGCTGGTCTTGAACTCCTGATCACAAATGATTTCCCTCCCTGCCTCAGCCTCCCAAGTAGTTAGGACTACAGTCAAGAGCCACCCTATGGTTAATTTTTTTTTTTTTTATTAAAATACTGAGTTTTATTTCACATGTATATTTTTGTCTCCCCACCATTTCCATGTCTGACCACCACTACTACTATGTCCTATCATAACATTCCATACATACTTAAAACCAAGCAAAGGGTGGAGTTCCATCTTTAAAAACTACAGGCATTTTGGACAACACATTCTTGGCAATGGAATCTCGACAACATTTATCAAACACGGTAGGGAAAATTCTCACTCTGCATTATAAAAAGGACAGCCAGATATCAACTGTCACAGAAATGAAATAAGACGGAAAATTTTTAACAAATTGTTTAAACTATTTTCTTAAAGAGACTTCCTCCACTGCCAGAGATCTTCAACAGCCTCCTGGTCAGCCATCCGGAAGCAATTCTTCACATAATTGATGAACTTGGCTTCCACTTTGGGAAGAGAACCACCTTTTTCTATACTTGCTTGCATTTTTGCTTTAATGTCTTCTACAGAACTAGGTCCTTTTGGTGTTTTAGGAGTTTTTTCCTGTTTTTTGAAGGATTCTTGTCCTTTTGATCTTGGTGTTGATGATGGTTTTGAGTCTTTTCCATTCTGATTTGACTTTTGTGCATTTTTGGCTGGAGTATCGCGTATAGATTTCTTCACTGGCACTTTTTCTTCAGTTTCCTCATCATCGAAATCATCATCATCATCATCTTCATCATCATCATCATCATCATCATCTTCATCGTCATCATCATCTTCATCAGCAGCAAGTTTTACTTTTTTCTGTGGAACCTTGCTACCACCTCCAGGGGCAGACCGCTTTCCAGACATACTTAAGAGTTTCACATCCTCCTCCTCCTCATCTTCTGACTCTGCATCTTCCTCCACAGCTACTAAGTGCTGTCCACTGATATGTACCGGCCCTGAACCACACTTCAATCATAAGACCACTGGTGGTGTTATTTCAAAGCCCCCAAGGGAAACCGTAGGCTGTACAGACATTTTCAAAGCTGCCAGTGTTACTTTAATTGGACTGCCTTCGTAATTCATTGCCTCTGCTTCAACAATGTGCAATTCGTCCTTTGCACCAGCTCCTAAACTGACCGTTCTTAAAGATAACTGGTGCTCATTTTCATCATTATCCACCTTAAAGTGATAATCTTTGTCGGCCTTTAGTTCACAACCGAAAAGATAGTTCTGGGGCCTCAGGGGGCTCATGTCCATGTCCATCGAATCTTCCATCGGGTGGCGACACGCACTTAGGTGGAAGAGAAGGCGGACGGAGATAAACGACCACTGCTCAAAAGAACAGCCGCTCAGGACGGACTCACACCAGGGCTGGTTAATTTTTTTAAGACAGGGTCTTACTCTGTCGCTCAAGCTGGAGTATAGTGGTGCACTCATGGCTCACTGCAGCCTTAACCTTCCAGGCTCAAGTGATCCTTCCTACATCAGCCTCTGAGTAGCTGAAATTGCAGGTGTGTGCCACCATGCCTGACTAATTTTTTGTAAGGTCTCACTATATTGCCCAGGCTAGTCTCAAACTTCTGAGTTCAAGAGGTCTTCCTGCCTCAATCTCCCAGAGTGCTGGGATTTCAAGCATGAACTACCTCACCTGGCCTAAGTTTTGATTAACAAAAATAGTGCAATACTTCAGACACAGTAGGTACTCAATAAATAATTAGTAAGTATAGAAATGTTTAAGGATTAAACCATTTATAAGTATTTCACGCATAGGCAAGGGAAGGAGAAGGGAATGCTCAAACCAGTGAGCTATTCTCAATTCTTATAAGAATTAAGGCAAAATATTTCAAAACATTTACAGTTATGGACTACTGGTTTCCAAGTCTGGAAACCTAAAAAACCGAAATTATTTGACTTTTCATAGTTCAAACTAAGTCATTAACTAAAAAATAAAGAATAAATCTTTATGTAAATTACTTAAATGATTAGTAGTCAATTAAGTCAATCACCTAAATATAAGGAAGGAAAGAACAACTACAGTTACAGGGAACGTGAGTGCATGAGTCCATCAGTTAATGAGAAAGGCTTTGGTAAATCTGGGTGGGAGCCACATGAGTGGCATTATTTTCTGTATGTTTTACATTTTCAAGGTTAAAAAAAGATCTGGGTGACTTTATGAAAGACTCATCAATCATTAACAGGAAGACTTGTCATTAGATTTTTCTTAGGAAAATGAAACGACAATTATAAAACTGGCAATAAGTTCAACCACACTGATGTCAAAAGGTCTGAAATTTCAGGGTAATTCTCATCTACTTGGTGACTTTGGCTACAAGATACTTCTATAAGAAGCAAATTATGGAACAGAGGAAATGTAAACTCAAATGGCATTAGATGAAATTTCTATACCAGGTTGAAAGTAACTAATGTCACCACTGTTACAACAGAACTCAGATGAAAACATGGGAAAGGTCTTACTGCATCCTTTTTTTAAAAAAATGTAGCTTTTCAGTGGCATCTTCTCACAAGTTGTGAATAGTGATTCATACCTGATTCCTGAGTTTTTGAATTTCTTCTTCTCGATCTTTAATTCTGCTTTGCAATGTATTCTTTGTTCGATAAAGATCTTCTTCTATATAGTGAAACTCCTACAAAGTAAGGCACAAATAAAACAAAAGCTAAATATGTGTCCCCTATCCAACCTCAGCAACAAAAACCATGCCGGGCACATAGCAGACAATCAGTATGTGTTGAGTATATAACTGAGAGTTTAACTGAGTGTATTATATAACGAGTGTATAACTGAGAGTTTAACTGAGTGTATTATATAATGAGTGTATAACTGAGAGTTTAACTGAGTGTATTATATAATGAGTGTATAACTGAGAGTTTAACTGAGTGTATTATATAATGAGTGTATAACTGAGAGTTTAACTGAGTGTATTATATAATGAGTGTATAACTGAGAGTTTAACTGAGTGTATTATATAATGAGTGTATAACTGAGAGTTTAACTGAGTGTATTATATAATGAGTGTATAACTGAGTGTATTATATAATGAGTGTATAACTGAGAGTTTAACTGAGTGTATTATATAATGAGTGTATAACTGAGTTTAACTGAGTGTATTATATAATGAGTGTATAACTGAGAGTTTAACTGAGTGTATTATATAATGAGTGTATAACTGAGTGTTTAACTGAGTGTATTATATAATGAGTGTATAACTGAGTGTATTATATAATGAGTGTATAACTGAGAGTTTAACTGAGTGTATTATATAATGAGTGTATAACTGAGAGTTTAACTGAGTGTATTATATAATGAGTGTATAACTGAGTGTTTAACTGAGTGTATTATATAATGAGTGTATAACTGAGTGTTTAACTGAGTGTATTATATAATGAGTGTATAACTGAGTGTATTATATAATGAGTGTATAACAGAGAGTTTAACTGAGTGTATTATATAATGAGTGTATAACTGAGTGTTTAACTGAGTGTATTATATAATGAGTGTATAACTGAGTGTATTATATAATGAGTGTATAACAGAGAGTTTAACTGAGTGTATTATATAATGAGTGTATAACTGAGTGTTTAACTGAGTGTATTATATAATGAGTGTATAACTGAGAGTTTAACTGAGTGTATTATATAATGAGTGTATAACTGAGAGTTTAACTGAGTGTATTATATAATGAGTGTATAACTGAGAGTTTAACTGAGTGTATTATATAATGAGTGTATAACTGAGAGTTTAACTGAGTGTATTATATAATGAGTGTATAACTGAGAGTTTAACTGAGTGTATTATATAATGAGTGTATAACTGAGAGTTTAACTGAGTGTATTATATAATGAGTGTATAACTGAGAGTTTAACTGAGTGTATTATATAATGAGTGTATAACTGAGTGTTTAACTGAGTGTATTATATAATGAGTGTATAACTGAGTGTATAACTGAGTGTATTATATAATGAGTGTATAACTGAGAGTTTAACTGAGTGTATTATATAATGAGTGTATAACTGAGTGTATTATATAATGAGTGTATAACTGAGAGTTTAACTGAGTGTATTATATAATGAGTGTATAACTGAGTGTTTAACTGAGTGTATTATATAATGAGTGTATAACTGAGTGTATTATATAATGAGTGTATAACTGAGAGTTTAACTGAGTGTATTATATAATGAGTGTATAACTGAGAGTTTAACTGAGTGTATTATATAATGAGTGTATAACTGAGAGTTTAACTGAGTGTATTATATAATGAGTGTATAACTGAGAGTTTAACTGAGTGTATTATATAATGAGTGTATAACTGAGAGTTTAACTGAGTGTATTATATAATGAGTGTATAACTGAGAGTTTAACTGAGTGTATTATATAATGAGTGTATAACTGAGTGTTTAACTGAGTGTATTATATAATGAGTGTATAACTGAGTGTATTATATAATGAGTGTATAACTGAGAGTTTAACTGAGTGTATTATATAATGAGTGTATAACTGAGAGTTTAACTGAGTGTATTATATAATGAGTGTATAACTGAGAGTTTAACTGAGTGTATTATATAATGAGTGTATAACTGAGTGTTTAGCTGAGTGTATTATATAATGAGTGTATAACTGAGTGTTTAACTGAGTGTATTATATAATGAGTGTATAACTGAGAGTTTAACTGAGTGTATTATATAACGAGTGTATAACTGAGTGTTTAACTGAGTGTATTATATAATGAGTGTATAACTGAGTGTTTAACTGAGTGTATTATATAATGAGTGTATAACTGAGAGTTTAACTGAGTGTATTATATAATGAGTGTATAACTGAGAGTTTAACTGAGTGTATTATATAATGAGTGTATAACTGAGTGTTTAACTGAGTGTATTATATAATGAGTGTATAACTGAGTGTATTATATAATGAGTGTATAACTGAGAGTTTAACTGAGTGTATTATATAATGAGTGTATAACTGAGTGTTTAACTGAGTGTATTATATAATGAGTGTATAACTGAGTGTATTATATAATGAGTGTATAACTGTTTAACTGAGTGTATTATATAATGAGTATATAACTGAGTTTAACTGAGTGTATTATATAATGAGTGTATAACTGAGTGTTTAACTGAGTGTATTATATAATGAGTGTATAACTGAGTGTTTAACTGAGTGTATTATATAATGAGTGTATAACTGAGTGTATTATATAATGAGTGTATAACTGTTTAACTGAGTGTATTATATAATGAGTATATAACTGAGTTTAACTGAGTGTATTATATAATGAGTGTATAACTGAGTGTTTAACTGAGTGTATTATATAACGAGTATATAACTGAGTGAATAGATGAACAGACTTGGATGGGTCTGATGAAAAGTTAGCACTTCAGCATACATTGTAAACAAAGGCCCATGATAAATAATTATTAGCAGTGTAAATAATCAGAAAACAAAAAAAGTTGATCTTATAGTAATGAGAAAGAATGGGTCATCTCTTCAAGAATCTCGGGAATATAACATTAATAATAATGACAACAAACTGGAAAAAACATAAAATATGTGATAAAGATTAATAACAATATAATGTTCATAAAATAGACTAAAACCACAAACCAGGAACATTTAAAAAACAGGCAAAGTACATGAGACAAAGAAAAATGATAATTCAGTAAGGTGGCAGAATAGAAAATAATATATTGATTTTTATATATTATTTTATATAATATATAAAATATATTTAAAAATTTATTTTTATTACATTATATTTTTACTATAATGTTATTAAATCATAATTTTTGAATTAAATTAAATTATTAAATAAATCGAAATTTTAAATTAAATTATTAAATGATAATTAACTATATTTTTATTATATTATTTTATACAATATATAATAATATATAAATTTTTGAAATGGAGTTTTGCACCGTCACCCCGGCAGTAGTGCAGTGGCATGATCTCAGCTCACTGCAATGTCTGCCTCCTGGGTTTAAGCAATTCTCCTGCCTCAGCCTCCCGAGTAGCTGGGACTACAGGAGTGCAACACCATACCCAACTAATTTTTTGTACTTTTAGTAGAGACAGGGTTTCACCATGTTGGCCAGGATGGTCTCCATCTCCTGACTTTGTGATCCGCCCGCCTCAGCCTCCCAAAGTGCTGGGATTATAGGCATGGGCCACTGCGCCCAGCCAAAAATCAGTAGTTTTATATAAAGCAGTTAGAGATATGAGAAAAAGGCCCCAATAAATAATAGCAACAAAAACAAATTAATTTAACAACAGATGTGTAAAACACATATAAAGAATACTTTAAAACATTTCTAAAGGGTAAAAAAATACTAGAACATATAAAAAGTCATACCATATTCTTAGACAGGAATACATCATAAAGATGTCAATTCTCCTCTAAATAACTAATAAGTTGGACAGGATCTCAATAAAAACAAAAGCTGGGTTTTTTCGTTTCATTACATAGGGTTATTCTACTATTCATATAGGAAACTGTAAGAAAGAAAAGCCAGGCTAGGCACGGTAGCTCCATCTGTAATTCTAGAACTTGGAGAGGCTGAAGGGGGTGAATTGCTTGAGCCCAGGAGTTCAAGACCAGCCTTGGCAACATAGTGAGACCTCATCTCTACAAAATATAAAATAATTAGCCAGGCTTGGTGGTGTGTGCCTGTAATCCCAGCTACTCAGGAGGTTGAGGTGGGAGGACTACCTGAGCCTGAGGAGGTCGAGGCAGCTGCAGTGAGCTGTGATTACACCACTGCATTCCAGCCTGGATGACAGAGTGAGACCCTGGCTCAAAAAAAAAAAGGAAAAAGAAGAAAATGCAGAAACTCTGAAAAGGAGAATGGATCATAAAGACTTTAAAACATATAAAAATCTCAGAAATTAAAAGCAATGTAGTATTGACACATAAATAAATAGACAAACTGACTAATGGGAGAGAACAAAAGTCCAGAAACAGATTTAGATAACTTGAAAATTTTAGGACATGACAAAGGTGGCATCTCAAATCAATAAAGAAAAGATAAAACTATTTTTTAAAAATGATACTAGGACACTAAGTAGCCATATGGAAGAAAATTAAACTGGATCTGTAGCCCACCATCAGAGTAAATTCCTAATAAAGTAAAGATTTATATACAAAAATGAATCCAAAAAAGTACTAGAAGAAAACTACAGGGCAAATTTCTTTATAATTTCAGAAAGAGGAACACCATGGCTGAAAATCCAGAAGCCTTGGTAGAAAAGAATGATAAAGCTGACTATATAAAAATCAACTTCTGGCCGGGCGAGGTCGCTCAGCACTTTGGGAGGCAGAGATGGGCAGATCACCTGAGGTCAGGAGTTCAAGACTAGCCTGGCCAACATGGTGAAACCTGGTGTCTACTAAAAATACAAAAATTAGCTGGGCGTAGTGGTGAACGTCTGTAATCCCAGCTACTTGGGAAGCTGAGGCAGGAGAATCGCTTGAACTCAGAAGGTAGAGGTGGCAGTGAGCCAAGATTACACCACTGTACTCCAGCCCGGGCAACAGAGCGAGACTCCGTCTCAAAAAAATAAAAAATAAGAAATAAAATCAACTTCTGCATAGCAACAAAACAAAATGAAAACCCTTCAAACTAAAAGGCAAATGACAAACTGGGAAAAATTATTTGTAATTTATATTACAGACAAAAGGCTAATCTCCCCAAAAAGGTTAATACTTCCAAACTCATTAACAACTCTACTAATGCATTGTTCATTTGTACAATGGATCACTCAGAATCAGCTTAGAATCTAATAGTAAAGCACATGCCAATCCAAAAATGTGTCCAAATCACTGAAATACAATGTAGAACATAGAAGACGGAGTTATTAAGTACTTCCAAAAGCTTTACGCTTAACTGTGAAGACGGTATAAGAGTAAAGCAGCAGTTCCGGAGCTGTCTGAAAAAGTAAAGGTGATACGGCAGCACACTGCTGCAGACTCTATTAGATATTTAGCTCAAGTTGTTCATCTCACAAATGGAAAAAAAATAAGATAGGTGAGAAGAGAGATCATGAGAAAGGCAATTAGGGTAGGAGAATCACACTTTACAAGGTTTGCCTGATTTCTTTTAAGCTCTAGGCTAGTACAAAACTGAAGGTTGATATTACGTAAATTAATAAGCACTAAAGGACTCTTCAATTGCAAGATTAAATACTTTCCATCTGGAACATCTGATTACTAAATAAATAGCCAGAGCTCCATTAAGCTCCATTTTCTTCTACTTAACTCCCTCATTTTAAAAAGGACACTGGGAAGAGGTTCAGTAAAACCATCTGCCATAATAAAATGAAAATTATCTCATTAACCATCAAGAACATTAAATTGTTGCCTTTTAATATATAATAGTGCCTTGAATAAGATAAATGCAATTTCTGAAAGGACAGCTAACCTCATAACTAAATTATCTAAAACAGCCCATGACATACCCTGCAGGTGGCTACTTGATGAGTTTTTCTCTGAGTACTCAGGAAACAGATTGGAAGCACAACTTTCATAATTAAAAAAAAATTTCTCTGAGGAGAGAACCAGTTTCAGAAGTAATAAATCCTAATGAAAAACATCTTTAAAGAATTTAAATACACAAAGATGGACATGCTAACAGTAAATTATAAGAATAGTTTTCTCTTTTGTAAAACAAAAGAGAATAATAGTGATTTACTTGTGAGTATGAAATAATATGTACTAAATGCCTATAACAATGTTGTCAGTAAAGTGGTGATGTTATTAACGTTATAGAATCTTATTCTGAAAATGTGGCTATGTTTGTGTTAATACTGAAATTATTATATGGGTATATTAAAGTAAAATAATTTGGCTTGGGAAAATACAACTGCTAATTGAACAATGAAATCTAATTCTAAACATGATTTGTAAGAAGAGTCTGTAATAAGGCTTTTTTCTCAAGAAGAAAGAGCCATTAACATGGCACTAATATTGTATCAGTATTTTTATTAATTATTTTCTGTCGTACCTAGAAAGCAAAAATGCAATAAACTATGAAAACCAACTGATGAATATTTGTTTTTAAGTTTTCTATACTAGGAGATATAACAAAATACAGACAGGATAATGGAAAGCATTCTGGGCTCAGAAACAGGAATCCTTGGTTCTATTCCATCTTTAATTAGTTGTACAATATTAGGCAAGTCGAATCACCATTCTGTGTCTCCATTTTTCATCTGTTAAAAAACAAGGCTACAGTAATCAAAACAGCAGGTACTGGTACCAAAACAGAGATATGGACCAAAGGAACAGAACAGAGGCCTTAGAAGTAACGCCACACATCTACAACCATCTGATCTTTGACAAACCTCACAAAAACGAGCAATGGGGAAGGATTCCCTGTTTAATAAATGGTGTTGGGAAAACTGGCTAGCCATATGCAGAAAGCTGAAACTGGACCCCTTCCTTACACCTTATACAAAAATTAACTTCAGATGGATTAAAGATTTAAACATAAGACCTAACACCATAAAAACCCTAGAAGAAAACCTGGGCAATACCATTCAGGACCTAGGCATAGGCAAGGACTTCATGACTAAAACACCAAAAGCAATGTCAACAAAAGCCAAAACAGACAAATGGGATCTAATGAAACTTAAGAGCTTCAGCACAGCAAAAGAAACAATCATTAGATTGAACTGGCAACCAACAGAATGGGGAAAAATTTTTGCAATCTACCCATCAGACAAAGGGCTAACTAATATCCAGAATCTACAAAGAACTTAAACAAATTTACAAGAAAAAAACAAACAACCCCATCAAAAAGTAGGCCAAGGATATGAACAGACACGTCTCAAAAGAAGACATTTATGTAGCCAATAAACATGAAAAAATGCTCATCATCACTGGTCATTAGAGAAATGCAAATCAAAACCACACTGAGATACCATCTCATGCCAGTTAGAATGGCGATCATTAAAAAATCTGGAGACAACAGATGCTGGAGAGGATGTGGAGAAAGGAACACTGTTGGTGGGAGTGTAAATTAGTTCAACCATTGTGGAAGACAGGGTGGCAATTCCTGAAGGATCTAGAAATAGAAATACCATTTGACCCAGCAATCACATTACTGTGTATATACCCCAAGGATTATAAATCATTCTACTATAAAGACACATGCACATGCATGTTCATTGCGGCACTGTTTACATTAGCAAAGACTTGGAACCAACCTAAATGCCCATCAATGATAGACTGGAAAAAGAAAATGTGGCACATATACACCATGGAATACTAGGCAGCTGTAAAAAAGGATGAGTTCATGTCCTTTGCAGGGAAATGGATGAGGCTGGAAACCATCATTCTCAGCAAACTGAAACAAGAACAGAAAACCAACACCACTTGTAAGTGGGTGTTGAACAATGAGAATACATGGACACAGGGAGGGGAACATCACACACCAGGGCCTGTCCGGGGGGTGGGGGGACTGGGGAGGGATAACATTAGGAGAAATATCTAATGTAGACGATGGGGGAATGGATGCAGCAAACCACCATGGCATGTATATACCTATGTAATAATCCTGCACGATCTGTGTATGTACCCCAGAACTTAAACTATAATAAAAAAATAAAATAAGATAAAAAATAAAAAATAAATCAAGGAGGATGGGATGGGAAAGCAGGAGGAACCTGTCGGGTAACCCTGAGCCTATACTTTAAGATTTCACTAAGCTGCTTTCCTAGGAGGTCTCCTCATATGACCACTAGAGGACACAGTTTCAGTAGCCATCAATCTAAAATCCTGACCTGCTTCAGTCGCTCCAGTTCTGTCTCTAGCTCTTGTTTAGATGCTTTCTGCCCAGCTATTTGGTCGTGCAGTTCCTGTAACTGTTCTCTTGCTGATTCTGCTTCATTAACTTGCTGTGCCTCCATATCCTAAAGACAAAAAGCTTACATGTAAAAGCAATAATTAAACATTCAGTTCAACATTTATTGAGTAATTATTATTATTTTTTTAAAGAGTCAGAGTCTCACCATCACCCAGGCTGGAGTGCAGTGGCACAATCATAGTTCACTGCAGCCTCAAACTCCTGGGCTCAAGAGGTCCTCCCACCTCAGCCTCCCAAGTAGTGGGACTATTAGCACATGCCACCAGGCCTGGCTTAAATTTTATTTTATTTTATTTTATTTTAGAGATGGGGTATTGCTTTATTGCCTAGGCTGGTCACAAACTCCTGGCCTCAAATAGTCCTCCTACAGTGCTGGGATTACAGGTGTGAGCCACCACAATCTGCCTACTGTCCAACTACTATATGCTGTGAACTGGGCTCAGGAGGCACTGAGGAATAAAGATGAGTAAGACATGCTTTTAGCCTACAGGGAGTATACAACCTGACACCTTCATTGTCTACTATGGCTAACAGTGAGCAGAATGAACTGGGGGCTACAGCTGCTGCAGTAAACAATAGCTACTGTAATTATTTACAATTCTTCCACTTTGTTAGACCTAATACTTATGATATATTGCATAAATTTTTACGAGAGTAAGAAAATGGGTCAATGTCATTAATGATGCTGAGCTATCAAATAAAAAAAATATTTTTCATAATCTCACCAAAAAGTCATGGAACAGATATGAGTAAGTTTAGCATCTACCCAATTTCTAAGTTTGCAGGACCGAATTCTTTGGAATTCAAATTTACAGATTAAAAAAAACAATCCTACCTTAATGAATAAGAATAAACCCCGAAATAATAGCAGCTATTATTTATTGAGGGTCTATTACATGTCAGAAACAATACTAGGCTCTTTACATATTTTCCTTTGTCAACAGAACCTTTGTTTACCTACATTCTATAGATGAGAAAACTAAAGCTCTGCAAGATGAAGTGTCTTGTGCAAAAAGCATCTGCTAAGTACCAAAGACAGAATCTATCCAGGCCTGTCTGCTATTCAAGTCTATGCTCTAGACAAGATGTCCTATTCTCACAACTTCCATGCTTTCTTCTGTAGTGCACAAGTCTCACAATATGCAGAGTTAATGCATGGATGAACATTCTTTACAAAAAGTTTCTTTCTTTTAAGAAAAGGAGGATCATTATGCTGTACTTTATCTTCTCTCACCCTCAGAGATTCCTTCCTACAATCTTTATGTCAAAGACTCCCAAGTTTAAGCAAAATAAATGGCCCAATTTTACTTTTAGATTAAACACAGTAATTATACATAAATTATAAATTATAAAAGTAGGGATGAAACTATAATTAGAAGACCATCCCTGAGCCCACACTCACATCAGAAGAATCTCAGCTTCACATATAAGCTCAAATCTGATTTGCTTTTAACCACTAGAATGTAAGATTTATAATTATGAAGATTCTGTTCTAACTCCAAACTTAGGCACATGGCAGGCACTTGGTAACTGTTTGTTGAATGAATGAATCTGTTTCTTATCCCCATAACCTTATGGTCAACTTAGGGATTAGAAACCTGGTTGGGCACGGTGGCTCATGCTTCTAATCCCAGCACTTGAGAGGCTGAGGCGGATGGATCACTTGAGGTCAGGAGTTCAAGACCTGTCTGGCCAACATGATGAAACTCTGTCTCTACTAAGAATACAAAAAGTAGTCGGGCCAGGTGGCACTTGCCCGTAATCCCAGCTACTCAGGAGGCTGAGGCAGAAGGATCGCTAGAACCTGTGAGGTGGAACAGAGGCAGCAGTGAGCCAAGATCGTACCACTGCACTCTAGCCCGGGTGACAGAGCAAGAGTCGATCTCAAAAAATAAAAAATAAAAACCTACTGCTTTAGCCCAGCATGGGCTGCAATAGCCCTGCAATCCCAGCACTCTGGGAGGCTGAGGAGGGAGGATCACTTGAGGCCAGAAGTTTGGGACCAGCTTGGACGACATAGGGATACCCTGTCTCTAAAAATAAAAAAATTAGCTGGGCATGATGGAGTGTGCCTATAGTCCCAGATACTTGGGAGCCTGAGGAGGGAAGACTGCTTGAGCCCAGGAGTTTGAGGCTGCAGTAAGCTATGATCATATCACTCTAGGCTGGGAGACAGAGCAAGATCCTGTCTCCTTAAAAAACAAAACAAACAAACAATCAAACAAAACCTACTGCTTTAGTAATGCTGTTTCCCTAAAATACAGAATCCATCGCCTCTTGAACTGGTAACATCTGAGGGTAAATGGTGTCTATTAAGCTGAACCATGATGAATCTTACCTGTAACTCGGATCTGAGCTGATGTATCTGACCCATCAGCTTCTGTATTTCCTCCCTCTGCATCTCTTTCTCATGTCGAAGTTCTTCCAGCTCCATGCTATTGGCAGTGCTGCTATCCAGGCCTTCAAAACCAGAGCCTTCCTTCAAGCTGTTAATCAATTTTTCCTTAGACTATTATTAAAAAAAAGAAATATGCTTAAGCAAAGTAGAAATTAGTTTGTATACTGAATATCATCTACCATTCAGAAAATAACCTACTACAGAAACATTCCATTATCTCCATCAAAAAGTCCACAGCTTTTCTTAAATTCACATGGATAAAAAAACGCAATAGAGCCTTGCTGTATGATGTCCTTGGACTTTAGCCCCCACAATCATGGTAAAGTTGAAAACTTGTTATAAATAAGACATTTTTTTTCCGGCGGTGGCTCACGCCTGTCATCCCAGCCTGCCCAAGATGGTGAATCCCTGTCTCTACTAAAATTACAAAAACTAGCTGGGCATGGTGGCGCATGCCTGTAATCCCAGCTATTCAGGAGGCTGAGGCAGGAGAATTGCTTGAACCTGGGAGACAGAGGTTGCAGTAAACTGATATAGTGCCACTGCACTCCAGCCTGGGCAACAGTGTGAGACTGTATAAAAAAAATTTTTTTTTAAATTTTCATTTATTTATTTGAGACAAGATCTTGCTATATTTCCCAGGCTGGTCTTGAACTCCTGGCCTCCAGCAATTCTCCTGTCTCAGCCTCCCAAAGAGCTGGGATTGTAGGAGTGAGCCACCACACCCAGCCAAACAAGATTTTTCTCACATTTTCTTCTAGTACTTTTTATTTTCCATCACATTCTATTCAATAAGAATTTATTTGGCATGTTGCTAGCTGTTCTGTACAATAAAGATAATGTCTCTCTCTCAGACAGTACCCACTGCCTTACAAACTAAAAGAGAAGTTACAAGTATCCAGCAGAAGGCAATAAACACAAGTGGAGAGAGGGGTATGGTCGGATTACTTGCAGAGTTCTGAGAGGAAAAACCACTTCTGGGTAAAAAGAGGCTTTAACTCTAAGACAGCCTTGAAATATGGGTGGACTTTTTTAAAGTGCAGAGAAAAACAGAGAGCAAAGCATAAAAATGCAAAAGCACAGAAAGTCTGTAAGAAAATATTGTGAGATGCAGATCAGACAGCATTTTAAGACCAATTTGGAGGGGCTCCAGATCCCAGGCTGTTTTAATATTATTTGACAGGCTAAAACAAATTACAAAAAAGTGGATATAGGAGTGACATGACCAGAGAAGCATTTTAGGAGGCTAACCTTGCAGGGCTATGAAGAAGGTGTTCACAAACGATGGTCCATGGGCCTGTTTTTGTACAGCCTGCAAGCTAAAAATTTTTTTTACATTTTAAAAAGATCATAAAAAATAAAAACAAAGAGTATGTGATGGAGACTACAGGTAGCCCACATAGCCTACAACATTTGCTATTTGACCCTCTAAATGTTTTCTGACCCCTAGGATAAAAGAGGAGTTGGAGAAGAGATTTGACATGCAAAGACCAGTTTATAAAGTCCCAATTCTAGACTAGCAACAATAAGGACCAACAGCTTTCACCTTAAATTAAAATATTATAAGGTCATTCTCCTCCATCAAAAATAATTTTTCCTTTTCTGGGTAGTAGGATTATGGGTTATTTCCATTTCCTTCTTCAAACTTTTTTTGTATTCTTCAACTTTTCTATGATAAACATGATCATTTATAACATTTTAAGATTTTTTAAAACTAAAAAACCAGAAACCTCCCAACCTCATTCCCCCTTCTAGCTACTGTCCTCATGACCGTGGTCAAACACGCTACCTTCACGTCTCCAGCTCCCAGCCGCCCTGGAACTCTCCCTTGAGAGGTCCCCCATCCTAGTTGCCAAATCTGAGAACTCAGCTTGGTATTCGGCACATCAGAGCTGCCTGCCACGGCTGGCAATCATGCCCCACATGAAACTCTCCCCCTGCTTGGCTTTACTGGATGGCATCAGTCTCCTCCTGGTTCTCTCCAATCTCTGACCACTCACCTTCTCAGTATTTTTCTTTTGCAGGTGATCTCCCTTTGCTCAATTTGTAACTGCTGATGTTTAAGACTGTTTTTAGACCTCAGCCTTTCTCCCACTTAGGCTACACATCGCTTTTGGCTAACCTTACCTATACTCCCAACTTACTTCTAATTACCTTTCTAACATTTTCACCTCAATGTCACATCAATTTTGCATACTCACCATAATTTCTCATGCTCTCTTTTAACCCTAACCCGCTCTCTTTTCTGTTTCTCCTTTTATTAACACAAGGAAATATCATTCATACATTCAAACCAAAAACCTGGAGTCATCCTAGATTCCATTTGCCTTTTTCCCATCCTTCCAATTAAATCTTCAAGTATCATATATATTCTACCTCTGACATATCTCTTAGCTGTCTCCTGCCTGCCATGCTCACTGCCACAAACTTTGATCAGGTCCTCATTATTTCTTATAATCACCTCTTCACTATCTACATGCCACTGATGTCACTATGCTACCCCTTATCACTTCCATGCATTCAATAATTTACTGAGTACCAGGCACTGTGCTGGAGGTACAACGATAAACAAGACCGAGGTCCAAATCTCCCCTAACCTTTTCATCAGGCTGCCACAGTTCTAACACTCAAACCTCATCATGGCTTCTGCCTGACATTGAGCTTTATGAGTCTTTTGCCTCCCATCTCTGAATACTTATGCTCCAGCAATAGAGAACTAGCTGCAGTCCCTTAGAGATGCCACGTTCTCTCCAGCCCCCTTGCTCTGGCGCAGGAAATCTCTTCCCTATCATGAGTCTTCCTATTCATCTTTCAAGTTTCTCTTTATACCACATCTCCTCAGTGCAGTGATAGCCCCAGGCAAGTTTTAAGAGATTCTTGTCTCCAGCTCCCATTGTACTGCATCAATAACTTTATTATATCAATTATCTCAGCTTCTTTCCACTAAAATGAATGTTTTCTTAAAGGAAGAGGACACATCTTTTGAGCTTTGTATCCTCAGTGCCTAGTGAATAGTTAGGCGCTCAATAAGTAACTTTTCAATAAATTAACAAATTAGGGTGATACAAAAAAGTACTTAGAAAGAAGGGTTTGGGGAAGGGATGAATATGATAATTCATATAAATAGCATTAGAAAAAGGTATTCATAGCCATTAGGAGTTTGAGACTAAAGGAAAAAGGTAAAGTCAAAAATGACCCTTAGGTTTCAAGCTCTACTGCCAAACGGCAGTAATATTGACCAAAACAGGAGAATGAGGGTGAAGCTGGTCTGGGAGCTGAATACCCTATGCCTGCACGGTAGGATGTTGAAGTCAGGAGGTCAGGGTTGGAAACATGGTTGAAGTCATATGCAGGTGGCTCTCAGAAGCAGAGTTAGCATATGGCAATGCAGGGTAAGAAAAGGCAATGAAAGAGGGTTCATGACAGAGCTTAGGAGGACTCTGACTCTTCGGAGATTGGGAAGAGGGCCTAAGGGAGACAGAAACAGCAGTAGAAGAGGACAAAAAGAGAGCCAAGAAGATGTGAACAGCATAGAAGGCAGGAGTTCCAAGAAAGTGGGAGGATTAACGGAGCCAAATGTTCTACCAAAATAAAAGGTATAGAGACTAAGAAAAGGACAGAGAATATTTATTGAGGTCATCAAATACTTTTGAGAAGAAATTTCAGACATGTAGTAGGAAAAGAAGGAGATAAAGTTAACAAGGTCTACAGAAATGAAGACGGCATATGTACAACAATTCCGGTAAGTCTGTGCAAAGTGGGCACAAAGCTAAAAGAGACTTTTTCTCTTAGGAGTGTGAGATCTAGCCTTCATTTTTCCACTAAGTAACCATGTGCTCTTGAATAAGCTGAGCCAGAAGGTGGCAGCAGCAGAGAGAGGCACACACAGGAAGCAAGGGAATAGATAAACCAAGAAAGGGCTTACATGAGGTGGGAGGAGATAGAATCAGTGCACAGCCAGGAAAATGGTCCTAGAAACAAAATGAAAGGTCATGTTTTCCCTCTGAAATGAGGGACAAAGGAAAGAGAACCTGAAAATGACATTAGATGACTGCAGGCTTTCTAAGTAGAGGGTAAGCTCGCCTTAGATCTGGAGGCAAAAAAAGCTGGATGAGGCAATTCTGAGAACAGGATGAGTCCTAAAGCAGTTGCTGCAAAAATTCCATAGGAGCTTAACAAGGAAGAATAAACAGCTGCCCAACAACAAGCGCTAATATCATCACAGTGAGTATGGTGCCAGGTTGAAGCCCTGAACTTGACAGGGGGAGAAGGAATTTTTTAAAAAAGAATTGGTAGGAACAAGATAGACTGCATCCTTTTAATCAAATTTCTAAAGTAGAGCAAGACACCTAAAGGTAGCCAACCAGCCAAACATGAACAAAGCATCTCACACAGTAACTACAGGTCTCAAAGTGTCTTTCAGTTAACGCGCACATCTGAACATCCAAAGTGTCCATTTCATGCTTACTTGGAGTATTCTAGTAGCTTTTTGCTTGTAGTCAATTAATTCCTGCTTAGAGGACTCCAAGTTCAACTTATATAGCTTGACTTGCTGCTGCAGTTCCTCAACTCTCTTCTTCTCATCTGAATATTTTCTTTCTGCCAGCGTAATTGCTTCTGCTAAATTCTGACGTTCCACTTCCACTTTATTAAGGCGCGCAGCAAACTCACTCTGTGACAAATTTTTATATCGTAATCATTGAGCTTTGAAACATATTTTACAACCATACATTCAGATATCTTAAGGCATTTATCAGCTAAGCCCAACAACATAATAGGGAGGGGAAAAAATTCTTAATTTGTTAGGAGCTAAAGAATAGGAAATCTAAGGTTGTGGCTCCCAAACACGGCAATGCATCAAAATCAAGTAGGAAGTTTGTTAAAAATACAGCCATCCAAGGCCTTTCCCAAGCTTACTAAATTGGAATATTCAAGATTGGCTTGGGAATCCGTTTATTAAGAAATTTCAAAAAAAAAAGAAATTTCCCAGGTGAATATGGTCTCTTGGATACTAGGTCTGCTCTGATACTAGCTGATCAACTGCTTCCAATTTAATAAGTAAATAAATAAGTGTAAATTACACCACATTTTAAATAATCAGTATCCAAAAAAATAATGTAAAATATCTCATTAACAACTTTTCATTTGACTACACGTTGAAATGATAACTACTTTGGATACACTGTGTTAGATAAAATACATCATTAAAATTAAGAAACACACACTACCTGATATTTACTGTCAGGACTGAACTACTTTCACCTGTTGAAAAGCTAGCCCAGACCAGTGGTTTGCAACCCTGACTGCTCATTAGAGACACCTGTGAATCTTGTAAAACCAAAGTGCCAATACCTAGGCCCTACCTCATACAATGGAATGTGACTATTTGCATATGAAGACCAGGCAGTACCACACGGGTGATTCCCATGTGTAGACAGGGCTGAGACTGAACTAGATGCAAAAATTCATCTAAAAGTAAAACTCTTTACATATTACATATAATTTTCTCTTGAAATAAATGAGCCAGATTAATCTGGAATCAGAAAAAGCTTAAATTAATAAAAACCAAATACGGTCCCCCAACCATTAGCATTTAATCAAATAATGGCAATGACTGTTGCAAAAATTAAGTGAAAGATGTATATCTCTAATGCATATTAACTATTTTAATTGTCTCTCAACACATAAAATTAAATAAACTTAGCAAGGATCAAGCTAAATTTTCAAATATCTGATTTTTGTCATGGAAACAAAATTTTCTGACATGTATTGCAGAACTGTATGAAGGAGTTAATGTGCTATGAAACAGCATAAAGTCATTTCTTCCTTGTACAAATAACAATAGGAATCCCTTATCGGCCATTCTAACCTGCATCTGTTTATAGCTCTCCTGCTCTCTCTTCAGAGTGGCATCGGCTTCATGCAGTCTCTCCTGAAGAGTTTGCAGAGCTTGATTCTGCAAGTTATTACCTTCACTTTGATCCTGTATTATTCTAAAGGAAAATGCATCCACGTGAAAAAAAACATGTCTACAGTGTACAAGTGATAAGGCAGAATAATTTTTAGAGCATTACCTCATTAGTCAAGCACAAAAAAGATGATGTGACTGAAACATTCTTAGACAAATCTTTCCTTTCTAATGGAATGTAATCTATATTTTTAGGCACCCAAATATACGTACACACAGTATAATAAAAAATGGCCACGCATGGTGGCTCATGCCTGTAATCCCAGCACTTTGGGAGGCCAAGATGGGCAGATCGCCTTAAGTCAGGAGCTTGAGACCAGCCTGGCCAACATGGTGAAACCCCATCTCTTAAAAAAAAAAAAAATTAAAAATAAAATAAAATAAGATTAATGACAATACAAATGCATTTAAATTCAGAATTTGCTAACAATGCATCTCAAGGTTCAACAATGAATCCATTTTGATCATACACATTTCTAACACTACCAAAAGAAATATTCCCCCTTGCAAATTTCCAAGAAAGCTAAGTTTTATAAGAGGAAACATTACAATGCTTACCATTACTTGCAGTGGAAACACAGAATCATTCTATCTCATTTTTTTTTTCATTATTCACAGAATCACGTACCGTGATTTTTCACTCTGTAAGGCTTCTAATGCTTCTGTGCGAGTACTCAGCAGCTGGTCAGCTTCCTGGAGTCTCACTTTCAGTACAGCCAGCTGGGAATCCTTTGCAGCCATAGCTTCAGTCAGGTCATCAACTTGGGCTCGAAGTTCTCGAGTTATTCGATCACTCTTTGAATGGTCGGTGTTCCACTTTTCAACTCTTGCTCTTGCTTTGTTTAATTCTGTAAAAAACTTAAATTTCTCTATACAAGGAAACCAAACACATTTTTCTTGGAGCACATATAGTTTCTACTACGAGTGCCATTAGTACTTTTCTTACTGCCAAAGTTAGGAGCTTACATGTATCTTCAATTTTCTTTGCCCCAGTGGGTCATCCATTTTTCAAAGCCAATATTCACACCTAGATTACAGTTAATAGATTATAAAGAGGCATGAAGCTAGCTGCTCTTCTACAATGCTGTTTGTATATCATAAAGCATCTGGGAGCCAAAACTAGTATTAATAGATAGCAGAGTATGTTCTGGAAAGTTCTGCTAGTAACAGGGGAAAGAATGCAAATCTAAATCAAAGGTATATCCCAGTAAGAACAAAACAAGCAAAACAAAACCTAAAGATAAACACAGAAAAGAATCTACTTCTTTCAATTATGTTGCAAAAAGATGCTATTCTTTTGACCTAGGAAATCAATGCAAAAAGAGAAAAGTAGTACTTTATCTCAGAATCCAATGGCATTTCCACACTTTCACATACCATGTGTAATTGCAGTTAGCCACCAAAATTTTTTTAAAATATTGAATCAAACTTTATAGGGTCTCAATTTTTTTTTTTTTTTCAGTGAGACAGACCTTTTTGGGGGGGGGGGGCGAGCGAGCGCACCTCACTCTGTTGCCTAGGCTGGAGTGCAATGGCATGATCATGACCCATGACTCACTACAACCTCCAACTCCTGGGCTCAAGCAATCCGCCCACCTCAGTCTCCAAAGCAGCTCAGACTACAGGTGCATACCAGCACACTCAGCTAATTAAAAAAAAAAATTTGTTTTTTGCAGCAAGGGGGTCTCACTCTGTTGCCCATGCTGTTAATGAACTCCTGACCTCAAGCAACTTTCTAATCTCAGCCTTCCAAAGTGCTGGGATTACAGGCGTGAGACACTGTGCCTGGCCAAACAGCTCTATTTCTATGTCTAAATTAGTCTGGGTAAAGTAAAGCTTTTTCTAAAGTCAGCCCGACTAGTGAGTCTTAAACTATCTACCTATTCCGCTCTTCTGAGCTTCTATCCATGGCTTGGCAAAACTTTTCCCACCCTCCCCCAACTCCTTTCTAATTAGCCCCAGAAACCAAGGCAGCAATTTTGTCACTTGTTTTCTTCTCAGCCATAGTCACAATAACATTTACACTTTTCTCAGTCACCACCTCAGGAATGAGATTATTTCCTTCTTAATTATCTATTTCTGAGGAACCTGAGGTTTTCTACTCCAGGGCCACCTCACTGCACATTTCTCAAGAGCACTGTACTGAATTCCATCTACATTTTATGCACCCTAGAGCAGCAATACTGCAACCCTATTAGTGCCTACTATTTTGTTCAATGGAACAGTTTCCCTTGAAAGTTCAGAATAAGTAAATGAACTAGACTACTACTACTGTTTATTCCTCTCAGTTCTTAAATGTCATGGTTCTTAAAGAATAACCAAAGAAGCCAATACTCTTATGTTTTGGGTTGGTGGGAGGATGACTGATCCCATTTCCAAATCTGGGCCCTGTATTTCTATGAAAATATCATTTTACAAGTCTCATCTAATTTCTCACAGTTTAAATGTAAACACTGCTAACAGTTTAGTTTTTTAAAAGTTAAATTCCCTAATCCTGCACAATTTAAATAAGCCTCTACCTTCTTGAGTTTCTTTGGATCTTTGAAGTAACGAGGCCATTTCTTGATTTAAAGACTGAACTTCATTCCTCAGCAGCTGATTCTCCAGTCGAAGGTTAGATAGTTCATGTGATTTGCCATCATCATTAGGTGCTGGGGTGTGCTCAGTGCAGGCAGCATTTGATGATGCATTTTCCTTTGAATGTTCCTCTTGACCTTCATGGCTAGAATCTGAGTTATCGGCAGCTTCTGCTAAAAAAGAACATGTTTTTGTTACATTGGCATGTTCACCACATATGCATTAATAACTTGCTTTGGTAGGATGCTCAAGTTGACTGCTATAGCTGAAATACCATAAAACGTAAACAAATTCTCAGCTCAGCATGGTGGCTCATGCCTGTCATCCCAGCGCTCTGGGAAGCCGAGGCAGGCAGATCACCTGAGGTCAGAAGTTTGAGATCAGCCTAGCCAACATGGTGAAACACCATCTCTACCAAAAATACAAAAATTAGCCAGGCATGGTGGCACTAATCTGTAGTGCCAGCTACTTGGGAGTCTGAGGCAGGAGAATTGCTTGAACCTGGGAGGCCAAAGTTGTTGCAGTGAGCCAAGATTGCACCACAGCACTCCAGCTTGGGTGACAGAGCAAGACTCAGTGTCAAAAAAAAAAAAAAGTAAATTCTCAATAGCTTCCCTCTGATGACATTTCATTCTCATAAATGGAGCATATGGACCTCTGAGGATCGTCAAGAGGTCCTTACACTGAATGAATGGCAACAGAGAGTACAACACAGTTTTGTGGAGAACACCAGAGATCACTTGAATGGTTAGGTTCAGGTAAATAATTCTGGATTTCCTTTTGTCTCCATAATGTTTTTGGAAAAATAACTGGGAGAAGTCCCAAACACTGAAAAATTGAGAAGGCACAACAGAACAGCTGCAGGTTTCAAGGCAAGAAGAGTAATAACAGGTCACTGCAATGTTTTTTTAAATTTTGTTTTAACAAACTGGAATCTAAAATGTCTTACCCAAAGAGACAGAGACTCATGAATTCAGATTAATCTTGTTTTTGTTATTAAATATAATGCAAGTATACTTTTAAATTACTCTATTATGTGATGAAAATGAACTATCTAAATAACAAAACTGACTAAAAAATAAATACATGGGTAAAAGACTTGATGCTTTATAAGGTTACATAAACAAATATCAATAATCAAATGAAAAAATTCTGAACATCTTTAGTCATCAAGGAAAAGCAAATTAAAATCACAGTGAGAACCAATAGACACCCCCTAGAATGGCTAAAATGAAAAACACCACATGCTGGTGAGACTGCAGAGCAACTAGACCTCTCACTGTTGGTGGGACTATGAAGTGGTACAACCACTGTGGAAAAAGGTTTTATAATTTCTTAAGAAATTAAACATGCAGCTCCATTACACCCAGCAATTTCACTCCTAGGTATTTCTCCAAGAGAAACGAAAACATTTGCCACAAAAAAGCAAGTACAAAAATGTGTATAGGAGTTTTATTCACAATAACCCAAAGCTGGAAACAAACTCAATGTCCATAAAAGAGAATGGATAAACTGCGGTACAGCCATGTAACACTATATAACAATAGAACAGAATGAAAAAAAAGAACAGTAACATGGATGAATCTAACAGTTCAGTAAAAGAAGCCATATTAGAAAGTATACATACTATATAATTCAATTTATATGAAGTTTTAGAACAAGCAAAACTAAGGAGAGAAAAATCAGAGCAATGAGGGCTTCTACAGATGGGGTTGGGAGATTAATTGAAAAGGAACATGAGGAACTTTCTGGGGCAAGGGAAATCTGTATCAGGTTTAAGGTGTGGGTTACACAGGTATAGCCATTCATCACATAGCTAAGATTTTTGTGCATCTTAATATATGAATATTTTACCTAAAAGAAAAAATAACCACAAAAAGCTAATAATCAAGTGGGGCAGGGAATGGGTACTTAACCCATGATTTTAAAATGGGACCCAGGCACGGTGGCTCACGCCTGTAATCCCAACACTTTGGGAGGCCAAGGCAGGTGGATCACGAGGTCAGGAGTCCGAGACCAGTCCGGCCAACATAATGAAACCCCATCTCTACTAAAAATATGAAAAATTAACCAGGTACAGTGGCGTACACCTGTAATCCCAGCTATTAGGAAGGCTGAGGCAGGAGAATCATGTGAACCCAGGAAGCAGAGGTTATAGTGAGCCAAGACTGAACCTTTGTACTCCAGTCTGGGTGACAGTGTGAGACTCCCGTCTCAAAATAAATAAATAAATAAATGAAAATAAAAATTAATTCAAAAAATCAATTGATTTGTATACTATATTAATATTAAAGAAGAAAAACTATATTACTGTCTCCAGTGGTAGAGAAAAAAACCATTGCTAAAATTCAACATGTTAAAAATTCAAACTAGATATTTACAGAAATTTCCTTAACCTAATAAAAAATATCTATGAAAAGCCTAATGTAAAATTATACTTAGGGAAACAAAGAACAAGATACAAAATTTGCTGTTGAGTCCTAGCCAATGAAGAAACAGATTTTTTAAAAGATAAAAGAACTAGGAAGATACAAACTATCCTTATACACAGATAGCTGTGTTGTTGAAAACCTAAATTTATGTCCAGAAAAACATGAAGATTAAGAGCTATCTAGATTACTGTGTATGTATACTCAAAAAACAAAAAGTACAACAGCAACACAGCAAAAATTTTAAAGAAATACCACATATAATTGTTTCAAAAATATAAACTACTTAGGAATAAAACTAACATAAAGTATATAAGATCTTTATGGAGAAAACAACAAAACCTTAATGAAAGACATTACAAAATACGTTGAAATTATACGCTATTAGTGGATAAGAAAATTCAATATAGCAAAAGTGCTGATTCTCACCAAACTGTCTATATAGAAGTAATGAATTCCCAATAAAAAGACCAAAAGAAATTTTGTGAAACTTCATAAGCAAATCCTAAAATGCATATGGGAGTGTCACGTCCAAGAACAGACAAAGCATTTCTGAAGAAAGACACTAAGGTGAAAGAAGCTACCCTATCAGTTATCAAGGCATATAAAACTACATTAATTAAAACAGGGCGGCACTGGCACAAGGATACACAAATAAACCAAAGAAACAGAATTAGGTGTCCAGAAACACACTAATGAATACTTGATATATAAGACAGGTGGTACTGCAAATTGGGAGGAACAAGAGACTCTTTTCAATAAATGATGCTAGAATAGCCAATTTCCCTATGGCAAAAAAATGGAATGGAATGCCTGCCTCACAGTATAGAAGACAATACAAAAAATATCCTCATGACCTCAGTGTAAGGAAAGATTTTCCAAGATACAACAAACACAAGCCATCAGTCATCTACATTAAGAACTTCTATTCATTGAGATACTACAGAGAGACTGGAGGAAGGGAAAACCAAGGTACAATTGGAGGAGGAAAAGAAAGAATTGGAATTTAGAATATATAAACAATGTCTATGAATCAAGAAGAAAAAAGACAAATAATCTAACAGAAAAAAATTTATTTAAAAAGACTTGAGTAGATACTTCCCAGAAAATGAAACCTGAATAGTCAAATATCTGAAAAGATCTTCAACCACATTAGTAACGAAGGAAATAAAGAGTATCGACAGCAAACCTGATCAGCACAAAATAAAAAGTCAAATTGAAAATAAAAAACATTGGTGAGAATGTGGAGCAAAAGAAGTTCTTAACCACAGCTGGTTAGAATATAAATGAGTGCAACCTCTGCAGAAAGTCACTTCAGCAATACTAGTGTAGCTGAACACTGTCAAACCCTATAGCTCAGCAATTATATTTCTACACATTTCTAGGCATCTCAGGACATTCGTTCTCAACCTGGGGTGATTTTGCCCTGCAAGTGACGTTTGGCAATTTGTGGAGACATTGTTGGTTGTCACAACTGAGGGTGCTACTAGCATCCAATGGGTTAAGAGGCCAGATATGCTGCCAAGCATCCTACAAAGAACTGGAGAGCTTCCCATGCTAATGAATTATTTGGCCCAAAACACCAATAATCTCAAGGTTGAGAGGTCCTACCCAAGAGAAACAATTTTTATAACTCCTGAGTATTATAACCAGTTCTAATTCATTTCCCTGACAATTAGGTTCTCTTTAGGTCCATTCTTTATAATTCAAGTTGTTTTCTTTGAAAGTACAAAAATAAGCCATGCCTACTCAACTTAAAGTCCTCTACTAGCATCTCACTGCCTATGGCAGTCACTTTCAACTATTGGCTAACAACCACCTACAGAACAACAACAAAATCAGATGCCTTGGCTCCATCCCCAGAAAATGTGATTCAGACTGAAAGACAGACTGAGGTGGGTGAGGTAGACATGTAAACAGATAATTTACACGTGCTCTGGTAAATGCAGCAGTTGAAGTATGGTCGGAGTGTTGTGGGAGCATGAAGAGGAGGTAACTAATTGCCTAAGGTATTCAGAAAAGATTCACAGAGGGTCTGTATTTTTAACCGGGTCTTAAAGAATGAACAGGAGTTTGCCAGGTTAGAAAAATAAGTTAGAAACAGCATTCCATGCAGAGAAAATAAACTCTTTAAGGGGTTGGGAGAGTAGAAAACGCTGTAAGAAAGTTTTGGAAACATGAGTGTGAACTGGATGATGATAAAGAAAATGTAGCTCGCAAACAAAGTTGGGACCTGTCTGTGAAGGCCCTTGTGTCACACTGTTTATGCAATTCAATCCATTACTCCTATAGATCACTGTTAAAGATTGATCCCCGAACAACTGGCTTTAGAATCACTTGTGTCATTAATTTGAAAATGAATTGAGTGCCTTCCCAGACAAAATACAAAAATTAGCAAAGCATGGTGGTGCACTCTTATAGTCCCAGTTCTCAGAAGACTGGGGTAGAATAGTCTGAACCCAGGAGGTAGAAGTTGCAGTGAGCTGAGATTGTGCCAGGGTACTCCAGCCTGGGTGACAGTAAGACCATCTCAAAAAAAAAGAAAAAAGAAAGAATCCCTGTGGTAGGGCCATGGTAGCTCATGGCCATAATCTCAATGTTGTGGGAGAATCATTTGAGCTCAAGACCAGCCAGAGCAACACAATGAGACATTGTCTCTATTAAAAATAAGTTTTAAAAATCAGCTGGGCACAGTGGTGTGCACCTATAGTTCCAGCTACTCGGGAGGCTGAAGCAGGAGGATCACTTGAGCCCAGGTCATGGCTACTGCGAGCTGTGATAGCTCCACGGCACTCCAGCCTGGGCGACAGAGGGAGATTCTGTCTCAGAACAACAAAAGAAACCCTACGAGAACCTACTATCATGTTTCTTGTCTTTTTTAATTTTTATTTTTGGAGATAGGGTCTCATTCTGCTGCCCAGTCTAGAGAGTAGTGGTATGATCTTGGCTCATTGCAACCTCGACCTCCTGGGCTCAAGCAATTCTCCCGCCTCAGCCTCCCAAGTAGCTGAGACTACAGGCATGCACCACTGCACCTAGCTAATTTTTGTATTTTTTGTAGAGATGGGGTTTTGCTATGTTGTCCACGCTGGTCTCGAACTCCTGGGCACAAGTGATCTGCCTGCCTCAGGGTTCCAAAGTGCTGGGATTAGAGGTGTAAGCCACCATGTCAAGCCTACTGCTATTTTAAAACACTTAGTAGGTACTTGAATTAGCCACATTTACCATGTTAATCTCATTTCACAGGTGAGAAGGTGTACCTGTAGAGGGAATTAAACAACTGGGGCAATTAATTCACAGGGAATTAAACAACTGAAAACAAGAATTCTAAGCTCTTGCTTCACTACTAGGTCAATGCCTTCCACTCTTCAACTTGGATCAAAGTTCAGTCTCTCAGCTTTATTTGTGGAGGATGTAGTGGGAAAAACACAAAAAACAACACAACCCAGAAAATATGTGAAGTACAGTCTGCTGTCATTTTTATAATGCTAGTAACAAAAAGGTAACAACTGGGATTGTCCCGATCCATACTTACATGCTTTCTTTCAGATTACAAAATTTTCTCTTTTTAATCTTAAAATGTCTTAGACAATCAAATTTGAAATACTTTGTTAGATGCTGAGTGGGTAAAGTTACCCTGCAGACAACATTCAAAAGTCCCTGCTACAGCTGTCTACTGACTAATAGTACTCAACGATGTCTCCCTTGTTGACCCCACACATGTGCAGACTGTCCGCCCTTATACCAGTGAGGACAGATCCCATAACAGTGGATGAGAAACACCATCGGATCATATGATGACACACTCAATTTGCTTAACTCTAAAAGAAATAGAGGACTGATTAACTACCGTGGGTTTGGCTCCCAAAAGAATTTTCTTCAGTGGTTTTGATGGTGGTTACACTGGGGTTCACAGAACTGACGTTTGATGTCCGAGAACTCTGAAAGACAGGTATCTTGCCTTTTTCCTTTTTGATTTCCACCCTCCCAGTAGGCTCCTTCTGTGAACTATTAAGAAAATCAAACAGCAGCTCATCATCAGGTTCTGACTTTTTTCTTCGCACAAACTGGGATGAAGGCCTAGGAACTGATGCATTTTCAACAGGATGAGAGGCCTCTACGGGTGTCCGAGATCCTACTTTCACATTTGCAGTGCCAGCTAAGATGGTGGCTTTTTGATTTCGAATGTTATCAGCTGCTGATGAAATGTAGGTAGCTTTAGGTCCACTCTCATATGTCAAATCTGTATTTTGCTGGTGAAGTTCAGTATAGTCAGTATTTTTGCTATGTATGATGTTGCTGGTATTGTCTTTCCTACTGAGAGCTGTTGCGGCTCCTTGATCGACTCGGTTTAAAAGATCTTCTGCCTTTCCAGCAAGATCAACAAACCAAGACATGATGACAGCAGAATAATCTTATGGACAAATCTGAAAAAAGGACATAAAATGATCAGTGTGGCATAATGGCAGAGTATAATAAATGGTTAAGACCAGACTATGGAGTCAGGTAGTCCTGGGTTGAAATCCTAATCCTTCTAACCCTACCTAAGTAACCGTGAGCAAACTACTTAAATGAGGCTGAGAAATCTTATCTAGATAAATGAGGGGGAAAGTGTACTTACCTTACAGGATGGTTTTATGATGAAATAATATATAAAAACACTTTGCAAAATGCTTGGCACACAATAAGCACTCATTTTAGTGGCTGCTATTACCATTATTACAACTAGCCCTTCTGTTTTTATTATTACTATTTCATGAAGAGCAAATCTTAATGTAACAAAAGCATCTCTTATGGGCTGAATTGCAACCCTCCAAATTCCTTTATTTAAGTCCTAACCCCCAGACCTCAAAATGTGACTGTTTTTAAAGATGAAGTCTCCAAAGGGATAACTGAAATGAGTCATTAGGGTGGGCCCTAATCAAATATAACTGGCATGTCCTTCAAAGAGGAGGACATTTCAACATAAACAGGCATACAGAAAAGACACAGGGAGGAGGCAGACATCTACAAGCAAAAGAAGTAGGCCTCAGGAGAAACCAACTCCACCAATACCTTGATCTTGGACTTCAAGCCTTCAGAACTGAGGGAAAATAAATTTCTGTCGGCCCAGCCAGTCAGTCTGTGGTACTTGGTTAAAGCAAAATTAATACAGCATCCAAACAGTAAATAACCCATATGGCAAAATTCCAGTACAACCAAATAAAAATAAAATTCACTGAAGTTTGTTTTAAAGGGCTGAAACTTGAAAAAACTTTTCCATTAAATACAAAAGCTATCTTAATGTTAAGCTGTGGCACTATTAAATATAATTTAATGTGCATATAATTTGTCTAAGGCACATGTTCAATAATTCAAATACTCAACACCTACCATGTGCACATTAAGCTAAGTTCAGAATAAAAAACACTACATAACCACTCATTCCACACATATATTTGAGTACTTACTATGTGCCGCAATAAATCAATGTAATAATGAACATACAGATACAGAAGAGCGCTATAATAAAGTCCACAACCATTTCTAGAATATGCACATTGTTCCTTTTGCCAAGAACTCTTTCACAGTTAACGTTCTTGTTCTTGGTCTTCACTCAAATGTCATCTGCATCAGAGTTCTTCTTTCTATCTAAGTTAGGTCAATCATTATCTGTACATGCCCTATTGTTTTGCCTCACAGCCCTTCATATGTTATAATTACGTATTTTTTTTAACATGTCTCTTGTTCTTGGGGCAAGGCGCACAGTGGCTACAATGTCTATTTTGCTCACCAATGAATTCCCAGAGTCTAGCACACAGTAAGCACTCATAAATACTGCTGAATGGAATTTTTATATGACAGAGGCTGTGCACAGGTACCTATGTATCTTTTATCATATGTAATTTTCACAGCCACATTATGTGGTAAACAGCAACATCCTTTTTCCAAAGCAAACGTGGAAAGGGTTTAGAAAGATCACAGAGTTTAGACAGCAGCTCAGATACTCAAGTCTAAGCCTAGAGCCAAACCCATGTTTTAAGCCTTGCTTCCCTATACCATACCACTCGAAATCTAAAAAAACCTCAAGAAGCTCATCCTTTACACTCAAAAACTCATTCTTTACACATGTGACTATTACATGCCTATGTATTTTGGAGTTTATAAAAAAAATCAAATGAAAATGGAGATGAAATCTCTGTAACATAAAGAACGCCATACAGGCCAGGTACTGTAGCTCATGCCTGTAATTCCAACACACTGGGAGGCCAAGTGGGGAGGACCACTTGAGGCCAGGAGTTTGAGACTAGCCTGGGCAACTTAGCAAGACCCTGCCTATACAAAAATAGTAATAAAAAAATCAACACGCACTCATTAATTCTTTATATCTTGCCTCCCATTTTAAAATTAATTGGCCTTTAAAACATAGCATGCAATTGCTGTTAATGTTGCAATGAATGTTGATTACCTAATTAAATAAATACTTAGATGGGCCCTGGGCCCTTGCCCCACTGACAAAAACATCTCACAGGCACAAAGCCGTCAATTCCCCCGGCACTGCCCAGGGGCAGAGAGGGTGCGTGGGATGGGTGTGCAGAGGGCGGTGGCAGGGCCTGCTTCAAAGACCAGGCGTCGGCACAGAGGGAAGGAGACTGGCGGTCAGTCGGTCAGGCTTAGTCGGTAGAGCCCTGGGGTCTGTCAGTCTGCGGATCTCAGGAGAGTAGAGACCCCCACTACGCTCCCAACCACTCTCGTTCAGTGCAAGAAGGACGGAGAGGCCAGGCAGGGTTCGGGTGGAAGACAGAGGAGGGCAGGAAACAACGTCGGCTGAAGCCCAAGGGGTCTCTCCAGCTACCCTCCTCAGGCCCCTAATAGGGCGAAGACGAGCGCGACCCGAAAGAAGGCGGACAGACAAGGGTCTCGGCTGAAGGGACTGCGCCCCGACTCCTAGGATCGTTAACACCCCCGTCTCGTCCAGTGGGCCCTCGCCTCCGCCTCACCTGAGGACTCCGGAGAAGCTGCACCCACGGCCTAATCGCCGTCCTGGGCCGCGCCCCCTCAGCAGCGGGCCCAGAAGGGACCCAAACTCAGTAAACCTCCTACCCAACCCGCCCGGGCCCTGCTGCCGCTTCCGGGAGACGTGGAAGGGGCGCGAGGACCCCAAAACAGAGTGGCTTTCGATCTGCCTGAACGGCAGGGAACCGAGAACAGCCACCTGCAGGCAATTCAGGCGGTGGCGCTGGCGGCTATGGGGTCCTCGCGCATGACCACGCCCCTTTCCGCCCATAGCGAGATCTGGCGCGGCGCTGGGCCTGCGTGCGTGTGACGTGACTCACCTTCCGCGGCCCGCACAACATTGAAGGCCACACCCACAAAGGGCGGGGCCTCGCTGCGGGCCACGTCGGTGACCGAAGAGGGTGACCGAAGAGGGTGACCGAAGGGGGTGACCGAAGGGGTAGTCCAGCTTGGAAGGAATACGAGGCTTGAGTTGGAAGGGGCGTGAGACCCCGGTGGACTGGCTAGACGTCATGTTTCTCGCTTTCCTCACCGTCTCCCCCTAGTTTTACGGATGAGAATGCCAGAGGCCCACGGCAGAAGGTGGAAATAAGAAAACATGATCCTGACTGCGTTGCACTTGCTTTCTAGTGGCAGAGACAGATATTGCATAACAGTGAATGGACAAGACGGTTTCAAGGCGTTACAAGAGCTCTAACGACAGGAAACAGGGAAAAGTGACTGGAGGCAGGGGAGTTACTTTAAATCAGGTGGTCAGGGAAATATCTCTGAGGAGATGATATTTGAGCTGAGACCCAAAAAGATGGAAAAGGCGGTACTGGGGTTATGTTATGCATACAGTTCATTGACTATCTGAAATAAGTCTGAAATCCGCATTCAATAATTCAAATACTCAGCACCCACTACGTGCCCAGGATTGGGCTAATTTGGCTGACAAGCCTACAACACAGTTCCAAGTCTCAGCCTTTGAGTTGAGGAAAGTAAGGCTCAAACACTTTAATTTGTCTAAGATCATCAGTCCTCATAAGGAGTCCACATTACTCCAAAGCCTGTGCCCCTTAGACTCAAAGTTTTGTCTCCAAATTAAATATTGGGAATAATTACAACTCCTGCTTTTCTTCCTCTCAGGTCAGGTTTAGCTCAGTATAGTGAAGAGAAAAATTTTCAGCAGCACCAGGAGGTAATAATCATAATGGCATCTAACATTTATCAAACCTTTTATTAAGTGTAGACTACTGTGCTAAGCATTCCACGGGCCTCACCTCATTTAAATCTCACATCAGTAAGGAAGGTATTATTCTTCTCTGGTAGGTGGTATTGTTGATCCTATTAAGTTGCTCTTCCGGTTAAGGAGTGTACATCATCACCTGTCGCTATGCAACTGCAGTGCCTCCTGTGGGAGTAGCATTCTTTTCAGCCTCACTGATGTCAGGCTTGATCCTATGATCTTTTTTTAACCAGTGAAATACAAGCAGAAGTGTCTCTCACGACATCTGAGCAGAAGCTTTAAGAGCTGTTATGTCTTTCAACGAGAGAAATGTTTCCTTTCATGAGAGCAGTCTGTCTCAGGTGGGGCTGCTTTTTCAGCCTTGGTCCTGGAAGAAAAGGAATGTGAAGCAGCCCACATTTGAGATGACATGAATGAAATATAAACTTTTATGGTTATAAGCCACTGAGATTTAGGATTGTTTCTTACACAGCCCTACCTAATGAAATCAGACTAATATTAATGTATTCTCCCATTTTACAGATGAAGACACTGAGATTAGTGAGGTTTATTTACTTGCCCATGGTCACATAGAAGCAAAAATAGAACAACTGGGATTCAGACTTAGGTCAATGTGAATCCAGAAACAATGTTTAACTGTTGAAGGGGGATGAGAATGAAAGAAGTTGAGGAGTAACCAGTCTTCCACTGTATTGGACTAAACCTGATCTGAGAGGAAGAAAAGCAGGAGCTGTAATTACTCCCAGTATTTAATTTAGAGACAAAAAAAACTGAGTCTAAGGGGCACAGGCTTTGGAGTAATGTGGACTCCTTATTAGGATTGATGATTTTAGACAAATTACTTAACCTGATTTTTTGTATTTTTGTTTTATTTGAAACAGTCTTGCTCTGTCACCTAGCCTGGAGTGCAGTGGTGCAATCTTGACTCACTGCAACCTCTGCCTTCCAGGTTCAAGTGTTTCTCCTGCCTCAGCCTCCCAAGTAGCTGGAACTACAGGTGCCCACCACAGCACCCGGCTAATTTTTGGTATTTTTAGTAGAGACGGGGTTTCACCATGTTGGCCAGGCTGGTCTTGAACTCCTGACCTCAAGCGATCTGCCTGCCACAGCCTCCCAAAGTGCTGAGATTACAGGCTGTGCCCAGCCCTTAACCTGTTCAAGCCTTACTTTCCTCAACTTGAAGATGAAGACTAAGGACCGTGTTGTAGGCTTGTTATTAGGGCCAAATTAGCCTGATCCTATGCACACAGTGGGTCCTAAATATTTGAATTATTGAATTTGGACTTTAGACTTATTTCAGAAATTCCACAAAATGGCAATGGGCAGGTCCCCAAAAAGAGTGTTTCAAGAATTCCCACATATACTCCCTAAGAAGGTCAGCATATAGATGCCTGCCATGCATGTATTACTGGGGCCAGGGTGAGTTAACCACAGAAACAGCGCAACAGAGAGAGGCTACAACCTTGCCCAGTGGGACAGAAAATTTTCCCTTTTCTTCCCACCTCCTCCCTGCCCTGATGTCACCAGAGGAGCTAACACATAGAAAAGGAAGGGGGAGAAGGAATCCTCTAGTGCTCTAGTACAACCAGGCTAGTCTACTCTAGAGATCAGTGAGAAGAACTTTGAATAGAGCTTAAGGTTGAAGTTTTAAACAAATGAGGCTATATTGTGACTTCTGGAATGGCAGAGTCAGGAGTTCAACAAATTCTCTCCCCCCCCCAAAAAATGATGAAATTGGAGAAAATTGTGAAAAACAACCATTGCAAATTCATGGAAATCTACCATAGATGTAACACAAATTAAAAAGCATTTTTTTCAAGAAAAACCATTAAACCTTGGGTAACAACAGTGAGAGTCTGTGACATGTTAGCAAGGGGAAATTCCCAATCCCTCTCTCCCAGTTCCATAGGAATAGTTCTATCAGGGCTGAGTGCATGTGAAAACCAGTGGCTTTGCTGCCAGAGGAGGCTGACTTTATAAGGAGAGGTGCCAGAAAAACCCCATGGCCAAGGAGAAAGATTGATTGGGAATGCCAACATCACAATTGCCTGGGCTGCAAGATGGGATGCAAACAACTGATTAGAAAGCCTGCTAGAAGTTTAGCAGTGAGATCCAGGGAATCAGATAGGGCTTTGTGAGGCACCTGTGGTCTGGTAGGCTATGTCAGTTCAGGAGTCTGGCAAAAGCCCAGGCATCAACTCAACCCTGGCACCTTGCACAGAGGCAGAGGAGACACAGGAAAACAAAAGCCAGGAGAGTCTTGCAGAGATGCAGAGGAGACACAAGAAAACTCAGGAAAACAAAAGCCAGAGCAGTCTTGTAAATTGCCTGAATTTTGAATGTTCTTCAACCCATTTAGATGACACAGGTCCGTCAGGAAAGGGTAGAAGTCTTACTGACTTGAAGTGTCTAATTGCCACCTTTGATCAATCATTGATTAAATGCTAAGCATCATTGACCTTGGTGAAAACCTTAGAAAACCAGCCTTAGAAATAAAAATAAAAGGGAAAAAAACTGAGCAGAAACATCAATGTCAACACACTATGGGAGAGAACCTACAGAATTAGTCCAGGCAAGTCACAAAATGAATGTATAAACTAAGAAAAACAACAAAAACACCCGCTGAGGGGCACATCAAAACACAAGTGTTGCTACACTATATTATCTAAATTGTCCAGTTTTCAATTAAAAAAAAAAAGCAGACATACAAATGAACAGAAAAAAGCGACCATACACAGAGGTGAAAATCAATATAAATGTTGTGCGATGTTAGACTTAGCATATAAGGACTTCAAGGAACTTACTCAAACATGAGATCAAGTCACACAGCGCATCTACTCTATTAAAAAAAAAAGAAAGAAAAAAATGTTCAAAGAACTAAGTGAAAATATGACAGGCAGGTGTGGCAGCTCACACCTGTAATCCCAGAACTTTGGGAAGCTGAGGCAGGGAGATTGCTTGAGCTCAGGAGTTTGAGAACAGCCTCCTCAAACACAGTGAGACCCAGGCTCTAACAAACCAAAAATAAAAACAAAAAAAATTGCAATGGTTCTTCATAAAATAGGAATATCAGTAAAGAGATAGGGATTATTTTAAAAATCAATGGAATTCTAAAGTTGAAAAGTACAGTAAGTAGAAAATAAAAATTTTGCTGGAAGAGTTCAATACAAATTTGAGTGGGCAGAAGAACGACTTAGAAAACTTGAAGATAGATCAACAGAATGTATCCAACGAATATAAAGAAAAAAGAGTAAAAAATGAGGTGATTCTCAGAGATCTGTTTGACATCATCAAATATACCAACATGTATGTAATGGAAATTTCAGAAGGAGAGAAGAATCAGGAGAAGGGGGGATATTTGATGAAAAAAATGGCCAAAAACTTTCCAAGTTTGATGGAAACATTAATCTGTACATCTAAGAAGCTCAGTTATCTTCAAATAGGACAAACACAAAAACATTCAACCTGGCACATGACAGTCAAGCTGTTGGTGTTGACTTAAGACAAAGAAAATCTTAAAAGCTGTAAGAAAAAATGACTCATCAAAAATAGGGGAACAAGAATAACAGCTGACTTCATATCAGAAACAAGGAAGGAAGAAGGCAGTGGGATAACATATGTAAAATGCTGAAGGGGGAAAAGAAACTGTCAACCAATAATTCTATTTCCAGCAAAACTATTCTTCAAAAATGAAGGCTAGATAGAGACATTCCCACGTATACAGAGACTGAGAGATGTTGTGGCTAGTCCTATAAGACTTGCCCTATAAGAAATAATAAAGAAAATTATTTAACCTGAAAGGAAATGACACCAGGTGGTAACTCAAATCTGCATAAATAAATTAAACAGACCAGAGTGTTAAATACTGAGGCAAGTCTGTTCTAATTACTAAAAGTGTCTGAAAATTATGGAGGTAGGCAAGATGTCATTAAAGAAACTATGGCTCAGAGAAAAAAATGGGAACTGCTATAAATATCTATGAGAATTATTGGAAGAAATTA